ATGTCCGTGGAATGTTTCTTAATTGGGCATATCAATTGACTGATCTTTTTTGGTGATTAGACTGAGGTCTTGAGCAAAGGTAAAGTGCCATTCTCATCATATCACATGAAAAAATGGACCCCATTTTTTCTAATGAAGAAAACAGGCTCAGGGAGGGGCAGTGACCCTTCCCAAGGCTCCAGAGGATCTGGTACCCATAAAATCAGTAAGGGAAGGCTTCATCATACCACTATTTATATCTGTTACTATTTACAATATTAGATTTAATTGGAGAAATATTTAAAGTATTGATTGACTTATTAAAAGTAATTATATTTAATATAAAGAACATATTTTATGAAAAATAACTATTTCCCAAAACAAAATTGTTAAAAGAAAAAGAATAGCACTGTTTTCCATTTTTGCAAAGCTTCTAAATATCTGATTTAAAAGACAACTTGAGGGCCATCAACCATATTCCCTCACCTTAAATCTCCTTCGTTCACCCTCCCCACTCCCATAAGTACCCCCCTCCATGCACATACACTGGACCAATTTTATAGTCCTGTCTTTTGTTATTATTTCTATGTCAATGTTGAAAGCAGTTTCTCCATGTATCCCTGCTGTGAGTATACTTTACTCTGGTCTGTTCAACCCCTTCCGTTACTCTCCCTTACCTGTTCCCTCCTAACCCTCCCCCATTTTTCAACAGCTTTCAACAGATATTGTTATATTCTCTACTTTCACCAATGTTGTTTTATGATATTGTTGATGCCCTATCATTCTCTTTTCCTTTCCCTCCTTCCCTGAGTTCTATAGAGTAGTTCCACTATTAACAAATATGTTCTACATGAGTTTTTATATGATCATGTTTGCTTTTTTTGTATATGTTTATCTTTTGGGTCTATTTCCACATATGAGAGAAAACATGAGGCCTTTGTCTTTCTGAACCTGGCTTACTTTACTTAACATGATGTCCTCCAATTGCATCCATTTACCTTCAAACCACATGGCTGAGTAAAATGCCATATATATATGACATTATATATAGAGATAATGTTTTCTTGATCCATTCATCAGTTGTAGGGCATCTGGGTTGCTTTCATAACTTGGCTATTGTGAACAGTGCTGCAATAAACATTTGTGTGCAAGTATCTCTATTGTACCTTGACTTAATGTTCCTTTGGATATGTGCCCAGGAGTGGTATCACTGAATCATATGGCAGTTCTATCTTTAGCTTTTTGAGGAATCTCCACGTAGCCTTCCACAATGATTGTACTAATTTGCATTCCCACCAACAGTGTATAAGGATTCCTGTTTCGCCACATCCTTGCCAGCATTTGCTGTTTTTGCCCTTGAAGATGGCCATTCTAACTAGGGTGAGATGAAATCTTAAGCATAGTTTTGATTTGCAGCTAATCTTATAGTCAGGGAAATTGAACATTTTTATAACTTCCTTTGAGAAGTTTCTATTCAATTTATGTGCCCATTTCTTCATTGGGGTGTTGGTTCTTTGGGGGTTGAATTTTTTGCGTTCCCTGTAGATTCTAGATACTAGTCCCTTATCAGATGTATAACTGGCAAAGATTTTCTCCCATTCTGTGGGCAGTCTCAAGTCTAGTAACTTTTTTTTTTTGTTTGCTGTGTAGTTTTTTAGTTTGAATGGAATGAACTGTTCCATTTGTTCATTCTTTCTCTTAGATGCTGAGCCATTGAATTCTATTTAGGAAGTCATTACATATGTGTTCCAGTGTATTTCCTACTACCTCTTATAGTTGTTTCAATGTTTCAGGACTTATATCCAGGTCTTTGATCACTTTGAGTTGATATTGGTACAGGGATCTTGTTTCTGTTATCTACATGCGGATATCCAGTTTTCCCACAAACATTTGTTGAAGAGGCTGTCTTTCTCTATCATGTGCTTTGGGCTCCTTTATCAAAAATCAGTTGGTTGTAGCTATGTGGGTTTATATCTGGGTCTTCTGATCCATTGGTCTTCATGTCTGTTTTTTGTGCCAATACTATGCTTTGGTGAGTTCCAGAATGTTTTTTCCCTTCTAGCATTGTGTTTCTCAATTTTTGAGTAGATGTCAGACACTATAGAACAAAAATAGACTGAGGTAGATATTACTTATGCCAATATGGGTACATCACAGTGTGGGAGTGTTCTATAATAATTTGTTTGATTTTTGTTCCAGGTTCTTGGAATTGAGCTTCTAAACTTCTGCAATTTTCTGATAGGAATATCTTTCTTAATGATGGACCCTTAAATCATATCTGAGTTTATGTGAAGAAGACCCAAGATTGGTCTGGTAGAAGATCAATCGTGATTAGTATTGTAGCTTTGAGACATGATATCTGGCTAACCTCTAGGGACAGGAATAGCGCTAAAGATTTGAGTTCACATGGCCAATGATTTGATCAGTCATAACTATGTAATGTAATGAAATTGCAGTACAAACTCTGGTCACCAGTGAGCTTTCTGGATAGTAAGCACAATGTATGAGGAGAGTCATACATCTTGATTTCACAGAGTGATGACACAGAACTTCACATTCAGGACTAAGCAGTTTGGTAGAGCTGAATCTAATTTGTATCCTTTTTTTGTTGTTGTTTTTTATTTTTGTGGTACTGGGGTCTGAACTCAGGGCCTACACCTTGAGCCACTCCACCAGACCTTTTCTGTGATGGGTTTTTCAAGACAGGGTCTCACAAACTATTTGCCTGGGCTGGCTTCAAACCGCGATCCTCTATCACCTGGCTCTAATTTGTATCCTTTTTAACAAAACTGTAATCATACGTAAAGTAGACCCTTGGTAACTGTGGGTATATGATTCTAAGGAGACCACCATTGAGGAAACACCACAAATGCTTAGGATGCACAGAGTTTGGTACTCTAAAGTTACTCAAATTTACCTATACTGTAAATACAGTAGGTCTGAGCATCCATAATTTGAAACCACATGGAGTAGGCTATTTTACTGTTAACAAAATTGCCATCATACACATTAACACTGTTCACCAAAAAACTGATCTTACTTCATCTTTATCTTATTCTTTATGCTTGGTTCATTTTCCTCATAACACCACCCAATCTCTGCTAAAGACATGCTGCCTTTCAACAAATTTCAGTTTTTTACTTTATCACTTAGTTTAAGCACATTATGTGCCCTTTTTGGCTTAGGATGATTACCATAACATTTACCTTGCTTTTGGGCACCATATAGTTTTTGGGAAGCATATTTTCACAAAATTAAGGGCAGGGACACATTCAGCAGATCACACAATTTAAACACAATTGAAATAATGTGGGACTGACTAAGAACTTCTCTGCATTAACTAAACTAAGCTGCATAGTATAAGGGCAGGAATTTTTTTTAATGTGTTTTTGAAGTTTCTTGTGATTTAAAAAAAAATGTTTTTTTTACCATGCTTGATCAAAACCATGTGTTAAAAAAAAGTCCACAAATAAAGCAGGCTCACTGTATAGTACTTTCCTGAGTTTTGAGTTGTTATGGTGTTAGTAAACCTGACAGGGTTGTTGCCACTTGGGTCTCTGAACTTGTGGCTGGCATATGGAGTGTGAGCATTTTTGTTGCAGATAGTACTGTTAACTTGAGAACTGTCTGTTTATTCTAGGTGGGTATCATTAGAATTGCACAGTGTTGCAGAGGGTTTAAATCAAAATTAGCTAGTTTAGCTAGGTTTGGCCTTTCTTTTTATCTTTATCTTTAGGCGCATAGATATCAAATCCCTTTAGCAGTTGGTGGAGTGGCTCAAGTGGTAGAGCACCTGCCTTGCAAGTATGAGGCCCTGAGTTCAAATTCCAGTATCACCCAAAATGTATATATATATGTTTTGAATTTTTTTGGGTGCTGGTGGCTCATGCCTGTAATCGTAGCTACTCAGGAGGCAGAGATCAAGAGGATCACGGTTTCAGTCCAGCCTAGGCAAATCGTTTGAGAAATTCTATCTCGAAAATACCTAACACAAAAAAGGGACTGGTGGAGTGGCTCAAATGGTAGAATGCCTGCCTAGCAAGCATAAGGCCCTGAGTTCAAACTCCGGTACTTCCAAGGAAACGAACAAAAAAGACTTTCAAGAGAAAGGCTTAGGGATGTGGGAAAGGCTTTTTGGGAATGCCACCCAACAGCAGCCTATGCAATATGCCTGGTGCACTAAAGGGGTTTCTTCAGATCCTGCCTCACTTCCAACCTTTCTTGTATTTGGTAGAGATTCTAATTCTTCTGTTTGGGACTCGCAGATATTCTGAGTTGACATGCTAGCCTACACTTGGCCTTTAAAAATAATTTGTTAAAATTTTAGTTGAATTTTTTTTTTCTCTAGTGGGACTGGGGTTTGAACTCAAGTCAAACTTGCAAAATAGGTGCTCTACCACTCGAGCCACATCTCCAGTCCATTTTGCTCTGGTTATTTTGGAGATGAGGTCTTGTGAACTATTTGCTTGGGCTGACCTCAAACTGATCTTCCTGATCTCAGCCTCCCAAGTGGTTAGGATTACAGTCATGAACCACCAGTTCCTGGCTTATCATTCTTATAATTTAACAAAAAGAATACAGTTTTATGTGGAGGAATTTTTTTTTTGCATTGAATCCTTTATTAAAGTTTTTTTTTTTGTTTTTGTTTTTTCATTTTTCTTTTATTATTCATATGTGCATACAAGGCTTGGTTCATTTCTCCCCCCTGCCCCCACTCCCTCCCTTACCACCCACTCTGCCCCCTCCCTCTCCCCCCCCTCAATACCCAGCAGAAACTATTTTGCCCTTATTTCTAATTTTGTTGTAGAGAGAGTATAAGCAATAATAGGAAGGAACAAGGGTTTTTGCTGGTTGAGATAAGGATAGCTATACAGGGCATTGACTCACATTGATTTCCTGTGCGTGGGTGTTACCTTCTAGGTTAATTCTTTTTGATCTAACCTTTTCTCTAATACCTGTTCCCCTTTTCCTATTGGCCTCAGTTGCTTTAAGGTATCTGCTTTAGTGTGTGCATGTGCAGTTCCTTTTAGAAATAATAAAATAGAAAATGAGTTCATTGTTTTTAGGAAACAGCAAAATGTACTTCAATTGACCACTTTTTTCCTCACCTTCAAAGCCAAGAACATACTTTTAATAGTAGTAGTAATAATAATAATGATTTAAAAAGTAGGAATTTTAAATAACAAATATGAAAAAGTTGAAATTATCCTGACAAGTTTTTCAGAACTGTTGAAAATATTTATTTAGAAAAAAAACTTTAGCTGGAAAATAGCAGAAATGAAAGAAATTTCACATTCCACATCAACAATAGAATGTCATGAGTTTAGTACCACAGTAAAAGCCACAAGAATCTGTGTGTGGCCAGAGACAAGGAAATGGAGAAAAGAAAAAGAAAATTGACAGAGAGGTAGATAACTCTTGTTTGGAGAGGATATTCTGGCAAATCACAAATAAGGATAGCCCTAGTCTACCAGCATGCCAGAAGCAGAACCAATTTAATTTCCTGAAATGGAAGATTTGTGTCAGTTTTCCTGGTAACTCTTTAAGGGGGTTTGGTTCCACCAATAAATAAAGTTCCTAATTCTATACTAAGTTCATCCTTTGGAACATCAATTCCATCACCTGGTTCTTCCCCAAGCTTCTTCCACCAGGGTGCTTGCATGTGCTTCAGGGTAGTGAGATGGGCCTGTTTGGCCTTAGTGGCAACAGGCCTGGATCTACTTAGGAAGTGCTCAGGTTCTTTCCCTTCTGCCTCCTTGAGACTTGGTGCCTCTGTAGTAAACAGAAAACAAACAGTGAATGGAAAAGTCCTGTGCCAAACAAGTAGCAATTTGGAAACTACAGAATTGGGACTCTCTGCCATAGTACGCAAGGACAGGATTCCAACTCTGAGTCTGTTGTCATTGTTAACTGTGGATGCTAGGTGAGTATTCAAAAGTAACAGCTGTTGCTGGTAACAATACACTTGGAAAATTCTGTGTTTAAAACAAAAGAATGAAAAAAAATATATTTTTGTTAGCTTATTTAAGAAACAAATGTTTATGAAAGCATTTCATTAAATTATGAAATTAGAGAATTACAATAGTTATAGAATAGTTACAAGTGAATGGCACTGTAACCATTGTTATCATCTACTTTTAAAATAAGATCAAAAGCTTTTGGGATTGCAAAGTGGGGCTCAGCATCTTTAAAACTAATAGGTTTGAATTGATGCACATGAATAATAGCAAAGCTGAAGGAAACATGCAAGAAGGAGGTTAAGGAATCTGTATCACTTGAAAACGTGTTTATGTGCTGGTATGATCTGATAGGGGCTGCACTAAAAGACCATTCTCACCATTTCCTTCTAACAATTCTAGAAGTCCCTTGTATGAGTAGTTCTTTTTATGAAACAAAAATGGAAGGAGCACATACTCATTAACTGTTCAATATTGGTGCTGATCTGAGCCATCAGAGCTTCTCTGTGCTGCTGGGCTCTTCCTTCCAGGGCCCTGCCCATAAAATAATGCTGCAGTCGTTCTTGAGCTTGAGCATGGAGCTCTCTGCTGGCCACACCTGACATCTCAGAACCCTGCAAAGAGTACAAAGAAACTTGTCACAAGAAGAACTATGTATCAAAGTATGTTTACCCAACCACTTAGCAGGGGTTCTCATTTTATCAATAGAATCCTATGATGACTGATGTCTATCTTATACAAGTATTAATCTCTTAAAATTATAGTGTTAAAAGACTATATTTTCCAGGGTCATCTTCTATAGTTCGTTTGTTACTAGAGAAGTTTCTCTGAACATTGCAAGTATCAAAGGAGGAAAAAACTTTAGATAAAATGAAGTTTCTTTTTAGTATGCTTTTATACATCTCTTCTTAAGCAGTGGTATTACAGATGAAGAGATAAGATTGAGAGATCATAGTAAAAATTACAAATGGTTTGGTAAAGACACTGGCCTGGAAGAGAAGTAACAAGGAAACCCTATTGTTCTGGACCTCATTTGAAATGCTACCTTACAACTTCTTTTTGTGTGACTGAGGTTTGAAACTACCTTACTTTTTAATTAATCCCTATTTCCAAACTTATCTAAGCCATACTGCTATAACTGCTTCTCGTTTCAGAGTGGGGGACAAAATCAGCTAAAGGACCATATTCTTTAGGCTAGTCACCTACTTTAAGGGGAACTTAAGTGATTAGTTAGGATAAGGATGAAATAATCTTAGCTTTGTAGCTGATAAAGTTTCTGACACTACACCTTTCTTAAATATTCCAGTTCCTGAATGTTGGATATAATCTTTTCCTAGTTAATACTTTACTTTTCAGCCACAGGATCTAGAGCAAGAGTATTGAAGTATGGCCAAAGCAGCAGTGAAAGAAAGAGAAAGGAAGGGAGAAAGGGAAGGAAGGAAGGAAGGAAAAGAAAGCAGAACCACACATTAGAATTATACTTGTTCCTCCATATTTGTTATTCCATACCCAGGGACCCAACCAACTGAAGATAAAAAATATTAGGAAAGGCCTCCTGGTGCTTACCACAGCTGTGTTCTTACACTGACTGTATAGAAAGAGGAGGCAAAGTAAACCTACCCCATATGCACCTCAGCCCAGGCCGTATGCCTGGTCTGCATTGTGAATGGGGAAACATGAGGTGGGGTTAAAAAAAAAAAAAAAAAGGAAAAAAGTTGCATCTGTACTGAACATATAATAGATGCGTTTTTTTCTTGTCATTATGTCCTGAAAAATATAGGATAGCAATTTACATAGTAATTACATTGTATTAGGTATTATAGGTAATTTAGAAGTGATTTAGAGTATATAGGGGGATGTGAACAGGTTATATGGAAAACTATGCCATTTTATAAGGGCATAGTATCCATGGAGATCCTTCAACTAATCCCTAGAACATACTGTGGGACAACTGTATGTATAGGTTATTAAAAAGAGGGAGGAGGGAGAGAGAGAGAGACAGAGAGACAAAAGAGATACAGATCAAAGACCTAACAGAAGAGCCAAAACTATAAACTCTTAGAAGAAAACAAGGGGAGCATCACAACATTTGGTTTGAGCAATGATTTCTTGTGCCAAAAGCCCAGGGAACAAAAAGAAAGTAGGTAAATTGAACTTCATCAAAACAAAGAACTTCTGTGTATCAAAAGCCACTATCAACAAAGGAACACAGCAGCACACAGAATGGCACAAAATATTTGCAAATCATGTATCTGATAAAGAATTAATATCTGTAACATATACAGAACTCCTAAAACTCAACCATTTTAAAAAACATAATTTGAAAATGGGCAAAAGGATAGAATAGACATTTTGCCAAGAAGATATATAAATGGTCAATAAACTCATGGAAAGATGCTCAAAATCACTAATCATTACAGAAATTCAAATCTTAATTACAATAAGATAACCATTCATACCTATTAGCTATAAGAAATCAGAAAACAAGTATTCTTAAGAATATGAAGATACTGAAACCTTTGCATATTATTTTTAATGAATAATGGTATACACATACAATGGAATATTATTCAAATTTTAAGTAGAAGGAAATTCTGACACAAGATACAAGAATGAACTCTGAAGATGTTACATGAAGTGAAATAAGCCTTGTGCAAAAGGACAAACACTGTATGATTCCAGTCACAGAAGGTACACAAGAGTAGTAAAATTTATAGATATAGAATGGTGGTTACCAGGAGCTGGGTGGAGGGGCATGGGGCACTCATTTTTAATTGATACAAAGTTTCAGTTTTCCAATATGCAAATAACACCTGATTTGTAGTACTGTGTCATAGAAAGTCAAAGATACGGATTTTTCTGTTGGGAAAAAACATGTCAGCAATATTATAGTAATAAAAATTTAAAAATGCAGATTGTCAAATGCTTATCTTACTGCCTCATGGAGGTTCATAAACAGTTTAGGAAAGGTAAGTTCTCATATGTGTGTTTGAGTGTATATATGTAAGAATGAGTATTATTCATTGATTGACAGCTACATATACTCTTTTCAAAATAGCCAAAGTTCTTACTGTATTACTGTAAAAGAAGCAATGATCAAATCTTGTTGGTGTAGTATGGGAAATAACTGATTTGAAGCAAAGTCTCCTTCACCACCAACTATATCTCTATGGTCATGTAACTATAAAAGACATTGAATCCATTAACTCTATGGGAAAGCTACTGAATTACCATGTGCCGACAATAGGTGTGCATACACATATGAGACACTGCTTTGTTGGTGAATAACCATACAATGGCATAATATAAAATGGAACAATGTAACATAATAATATAACATAATGCAGAGAAGCCTACATACTGGATGTCTTTTGACATAGTCATCCACTTGTTGCTTCAATTCAACTCTGCGTGCGTCAGTGAATTCTTGGAGTCCATACCAAGAAGCAAATAGTTTCTTTGTCTTACGGCGCTTTGCTAGGAATTTGAGAACCTGGGGGCAGAAAAAGAAGGTTTGTGATTCTACTTCCCTGACTAGAGCTATTTTCTCTCTACAACATATGGTAGAGACACCATTGCGACAGTGGTTAATATTGAGAGGGGGATGAGATTGTGAAGGAGTGAGGAAGAACAGTGACTTTTTAACTATATAGAGATTCCTGGACTTATGAAGAGGCTGTGTACCAATAAGTTGTAAGTTGAAAATATTGTTAAGTCACAAATACATTGAATACACCTAAGGCTACCTAACATCATAGTATGGTTTCTACTAAATGCACTTCACTTTACATCATGGTGAGGTAAGGACCACCTGTATATTCTTCTGTAGTCCTTTAATTTTTTATAAGGATATATTTACATATTATTTCTGCAGTAAGCAATGAAAATTTTAAAAAAAGGAAATAAGCACTGAATTCTCATCTTAGTTCTAGTTTCTTATAAGTGACTATTCTGGGAAGGTCACTTGATTGTCATAAGACAGGTTCTATGTCTACAGGCAACAAGGAATCTAATTCTACATGGCCTACAGGACTTACAGAGACAGTGTGTAAGAAAAAGCTTGGAAAATGAGAAAATATTATAAAATTAAAAGGTATGAGGCTGCTGACAAAAAGATTTTCTGAATGTTCTTTTTCTTGACTCCTAGCAAAATAAAAAATCTTGGACTCCTAAGAAATCTTGTAACAGGCATGACTTGGGGCAAATTTGAAATTATTCTTTCCAATTTTTTCATTCTTGTCCCTTCTTTGTAGTTTTTATTTTCATCAAAGTTACATATTGACACTTATTAACACAGTGGTTGGCAAATCATAGTTCACAGACACAATCTAGCCTGATGCAAGTTTTTATATGGCTTGAGGGATAAAATGTATTTTGTTATGTTACATGATTAAAAAATGAAAAAGTGAATAATATCTTGTGATATAGAAAAGCATATGAAATCCAAAATTCAGCCAAATATGTTGGCACGTATCAGTAATCCCAGCTATGTGTGGGGGGGGGGAGATGGGAAGATCATGGTTTGATGCCAGCCTGGGCAAAAAAAGCTGGTAGACTCTATCTCCAAAAAAAAGGTGGGCACAGTGGTACATTCCTATAATTCCAGCCATGTGGGAAATGGAGGTAGGAGGATGTCAGTTCAAGGCTGGCCCAGGCAAAAAGCACCAGACCCTATCTGAAAAATAAAGCAAAAATTTGAAAAAGGCTGGGGACATGGCTCAAGTAGTAAAAGCAATTATCTAGCAAGAACAAGGCCCTGAGTTTAAACTCCAATATTCCTCCCCTTCAATAGACAATTCAATGTCTTCAAATAATTTTGTTGGAATACAGGCTGATTTGTTTAATATTATCTACTGCTATGTAGAAACCATGGCTATGACATGGCCTGCAAAGCCTAAATATTTTTATATCTGTTTCCAGAAAAAGTTTACTGGTGCAATTCTATTATTTAAAGTACACATTTTGCAAGAATTATTAACAAAAAACTAATTCTCTGCTTACTCACCCCTGTTCCCAATTTCAAAGGCAACAACTATAACTCTTTCAAGTTTTACTTTTGATAGTTACTTCCATATACTTTCATATGATATTTTTCAGACATTAGTATTGTCTATTAATTTTTTGGAATGGAAGGATTTAGCTTATATTCCACATACCTTCTATATCCCCACAAAATCTGATGGATATTTTACATTTAGAGCACATTTTAATTTGGACTAGCTATATATCAAGTACTTCCCAGCTAAATGGTTACTGTACTGGACAATCAAATTCTCTAGTGTGTCCTGGAAAACAATGTTGTAAAAATATTGCAAAATGTGTCCTTTACCAATCATTGCTCTGATTTTCTCTACTTTTCTTCCCTCTGTATTTTCACCCTTTTCTTTCTTTGAAAATCATTTATTTCTATTTCCATTTTGCTAGCTTTGCTTTGACTTCACAGTTATGTTAGTAGTGAGATGCGAACATTATAAATATGACCTTCACCCATCCTTTTTTGTTCTTATTTCAACAGAGCCTCGTACCCCTTTTTTAGAATGAGCAGACATGAGTCAAACGTGTGCAATCTTTTTTCCTCAAGTTGCCAGTGGAAAGCATGAAAACCAAAACAAGTTTGTCTTCATAGCCTTCAGATGCTCTCCTATGATGACCACTTTTTCTCTAGAGATTGGTTTAGAAATTGGGTATCTCAGAGTGCTCCTTTACAAAGTACTGGGCTCATCAAAATCAGGCAAGTTATTAAGTCAACTGCATAAAAGGCCAGCTAATTCTCTGGCAGAGAAGACTTTAAAAAGAAGGCAGACACGAGGTTAAAGTATTATTAAAAAAAAAAAAAAAAAGCCAAAGCGCCCTCTAAAAGAAGTGTCTCCAACCTTTATCAATGGGGTAACCCTATGTGGCCTTGTTTAGCAGAGGGTAAATATCAGGAGTGTGCATGTATACAGTCTGGCAATAGTCTTATACCTGGGATCCTCAGAAGAGCCTGAAGAAAGAGGAAGAGGTAGATATCTCTTTCTACTTCTCTAGTATTTATTCTACTGTGTTTTTGGATAGTTTTAAAATCTTGTTCATAAGTGCTAATCCATAAAGAATGTTCTAAACTTACCATGGTGAAAAACTGAAAACTGACCTACAAGTACAGTAAAGGATAAGACCTGAAATCCTAATATGAAGCCTAAGAGAATAAGATGTTAGGAAAAATAGTCAATGAGAAAAACAGCCCTGTGCTATGCTTCTTCAAGGCAAGAAAGGATTCTCTGCTCTACATAATTCCCAGGAAAATTATCACTTAAGAACACCATTCTACAATTCAAGAGTTATAATGACCTAATTATACCTAATGCTTCATTTGTACACTGAAAAGAATCAAATATGACATGAATTTACAGAACACATTTCCATTAACTAGGTCATCTTATCCACATAACAACCCAGTGAAAAAGGTAGAGCAAACATCCCATTCATACATCATGCAATGTTGAGATCTGTCAACTCACAGCCAAAAGAAGAAAGAAAAAAGTAATAACAACATTACAGTATGGTAAATGATGTACAAGATTCTTAGTACTAAGGACTAAGTGTCTAACTCAGCTTGGCCAGAGGCAAGGAGGTTCTTTTTTTAATTAATTTTTTTCTTTGTGTACTGATGATCAAACCCAGGATCTTGCACGTGGTAGGCAAGTGCTCTACCACTGAGCTATGCCTGCAGCCAGAGGTTCTTACTTTTATAAAGGTAAAAACCAAGCTCAGAAAAGCTAAGTGATTTGACCAAGGCTTTACACTAAGTAAAAATCAAAGTCAAATTTGAACATGTGTTTTTGCCTCTTTATCTAGAATTGTTTTTACTACAACAGACTCACTGCTCTTTGAAGTGTGACAGCTGCTTTATACTCCGTGAGACATGGCCTCTGTTGGTGAAAATTCTTCCTTTCCCTGTACCCTCTCCAATGTTTCTGGATAATCAGTGCTGACTTCTCTTCCATTTCTCTATTGTACTTCTCCACTTGACCTGAAAAGATGACAGACATTATTAAACCATACTCATGCTATGTTTTCTCAAGTTCTGGAGTCAGGACAATGGTAGTAATAACAATTCTGCAGTCCTTTTATTTTTAAAAGGACTAAGTTTCTAAGTTAGAAACTAAAATTTTCCCAGATTGTACAGCTTTTTTTTTTTTTTCTTTTTGGCAGTACTGGGGTTTGAACTCCAGCAAGTGCTCTACCAGTCCTTGGTTTAGTTTGTCCTTCAGATAGGGTCTCACACTTTGCCAAAGCCAGTCTTGGACCCTATACTCCTATTTCTGCCTCCTGAATTGATGAGATTATGGATGTGCACAACCAGCTTGAGATAGAGTCTCACTAACTTTTTGCCTGGCTGGCCATGAACTATCATTTTCCTATCTCTGTCTCCAAAGTAGCTGGGACCTATAGGCATAAGCTATAACACCTGGCCTTCTATGTAGCTTCTTTAGAAAAAGTACTTATATTTTTGTGCCAGGGTAATGAGAAAAGGATGAAAATTCAATAGTAAGAGCATTATCAAAAAACAATCATGACTACATAGTTAAGAAATCATTTGTACTACCAGAGGGAAAGAGTTTATGTGTTATCTACTGTGTGCTTCCAAATTTCTCTCCATTTGATTACACAGATGACTTTCTTTTTCCTTTCTGGGAGTTGGTCAGCATATTAGCAGGGTTCACAGCTAAATGATAAAGTAGTAGAAGACAGTGGTAATAAAAAGAAGGGATCTCTCACCAGTGGTAATTAAAGAAGGGTATGTTTGAGAAAGAGTATAAAAACTGATAGGATTTAATGAATGACTAGATGTGGAAGTGACAAAGGGAAAAGAACTCTAGTATGTCAGAAGGGAAACTGATTGTTTGTTGGTGCCATTACCTGAAATGGGGAATTAAAGAGGAAATCTGAGAGGCAAGATCATGACTTCAGTTTTTGGGATACTTGTGGATACCCAAGAAAAGCATTTCACCAGTTAGCTGACTGTACAGCACATTGTCTCAAATAATAGACATTAGATAGAAATGGATACCTAAGTTTAAATAAAGTATAATAAAAAATTCACGCCTTCAAGTGCATTGGCCACATTTCAAATACTCAATAGCCACCTCTAGCCATTGCTACTGTATTGGATAGTGAGGACACAGAACATTTTGTTTGTGTAAGTAGAAAGTTATATTGGGAAAGAAGGTTAGGATAGAGGTCAGATATGACAGCACTAAGCACTCAGTTGACAGTTGAAGCTAAATATTGACAGGATACACCAGGTAGAGCATTATGAGGAAAACTGGGTGAGGATAGAACTCTGAAAAATATCTGTATTTGGGAGAAAGGAAGAAAAATACGGGAACTTCCCAGATCACATTTTATTATTAATTCAGTTTAGTCTGTTGCAGGCAGCAAGAACATGTCGCAAGGTTGTACGAGGGAATGAATTAAGTTCTGATGGTAGAATGTAGCAATAGTCTATTTCCTTTCAAAGAGTTTCTTCTTTATGTCTCTGACAGTTTTTTTTAAGTATCAGTTTTTATGTTGAACTTATCTGAGAAAAACTAATGGGAAAATTGCACATCATTAATAAGAGGTCTGAACTAGAAAAAAAATTGCAACTTTTTTGACTCGAGGTTTACTATGGTTTATCTGAAAAAAAGAGAAAACAAGGCAAATATTTAAATATATGAAAAAGAAATCATCAGGTAGCTAGGAAACTTGGTTTATTTACTAACAGATACTCTAAGCATCTTGCAAAGTTTATATGGCCACTCACCTGGGTGAACTACTTCAAGCATACTCAGTTGTAATTCTCGGGAAATTCTCATGGCTTTCTGTCTTTGAAGCTGCAATCTCAATTTGAGGTCCTCTTCTTCCTTCTGCCTATTTAGCTTTAGCAATGTCTTTGTTCGTTTAGCTCTGTAATGGAAATAATTAAGTACCTTAACACAATTTTATAAATCATATGTTCAAGAAATGTATGAAATGCTTCATCTTGTAAGTAATCAAATAAATGCAGACAAAAAAGTTTTTAAAGATAATTCCTAGTGTTAGGGTATGATTATATATTGCCATGTGTTTCTGGAGCAATATTTGGATACATGCACCAAAAGTCTGGAGAAATATCTGAAATATATATCAAGAGCCTTAAAAATGCTGACCAATTAATTCTGTTTCTAGTAATTTGCTTATGGAAATAATTAAATATTTAAACATTATGTTCAAGAATTTTCTCAACATAGTACTAAAAGAGTAAAAAGTTGAAAACAAATTATGTCTCATTATAGGGGGATGATAAATACTGGTTCATTCATCTGATGGTATCCTATGAACTATGAAAAAACATTTTCAGAGAATATTTAGTGACATGCAATGTCAGATAAAAATAAAATCTAGATATAGAAGAACAAGATCCAAATTGTATTTAAAAATTTACATTAGCCAGGCATGGTGGTACATAGTTGTAATTCCAGCTTTTGAGGCGTAAGACCAACCTCAAATATATAGGGAAATCCAGTCTCAAAAAACAGAACAAATAAACCAGTTGTATTCACTTACATAGGAAAATAAATGAATTAAAAGCATTAGCAATTTTCACTGCATGGTGCAATTATAGCTGATTTTTATTTTCTTATTACATTTACCTATTTTTTAAATTATCGACTAAGAAACACTATTTTATAACTGATTATAAAAATCTTCATGTGGCTTCAAACGTTTTATTTATTTCTTTATAATCTGCTTTTATTTATCAAATTTCTCCTTAGCTATTCCAACCCAATTTTTGTTGCTTCTTATATCACTATGTAAGGAGACCACAAGTATTAGTCTATAGCAAATATACTCAAAATGCTTTCAAATATACCACAGAAAAAGAAAAACAAGAGAATATGAAGAAAAGAGACAGCAGGTATTCTGTTTTATAGCATGAATTTGCATATCTTCCTTAAGAGTATGTGTTTTTCTTCCCAGCACAAAAAAACCAAAACAAAATCAAAGTAATTTTAGTGGTATGTTATGGTCCACACTTGTAATTCCAGGAGGTGGAAACAGGAAAATCAGGAGCTCAAGGCCAACATGGGCTACATAGTGAAACCCTGTCTCCAAAAACACCAAAACTACAACAAACAACCAATTTCCCCCAAACAAAACAAAACAAAGAAAAAAAAAGAATACATTATTTAGATCCTTTTCATAGAATTAAACTGACAACAATTGTGGTACCTTGGCTTTGTGGTATTAACAGCAGACTTGTACCCATGTATGAAAATGGAAAAATGACATATGTTGAAACTATTCCAGGAATTGGTAGGATAAAGGAGAATGATGGGCCCCAAAAAGAAAAGTCCAGGACCTGATGGATTCTCTGCTGAATTCTATCAGACCTCTAAAGAAGAACTGATACCAACCCTCCTTAAACTGTTCCACGAAATAGAAAGGGAAGGAAAACTGCCAAACACATTTTATGAAGCCAGTATTACACTTATCCCAAAACCAGGCAAAGACACCTCCAAAAAGGAGAACTATAGGCCAATCTCCTTAATGAACATTGATGCAAAAATCCTCAACAAAATAATGGCAAACCGAATTCAACAACACATCAAAAAGATTATTCACCATGATCAAGTAGGCTTTATCCCAGGAATGCAGGGGTGGTTCAACATACGAAAATCAATAAACGTAATAAACCACATTAACAGAAGCAAAGACAAAAACCACTTGATCATCTCAGTAGATGCAGAAAAAGCCTTTGATAAGATCCAACACCATTTCGTGATAAAAGCTCTAAGAAAACAAGGACTAGAAGGAAAGTACCTCAATATTATAAAAGCTGTATATGACAAACCTACAGCCAGCATTATACTTAATGGAGAAAAACTGAAACCATTCCCTCTGAAATCAGGAACTAGACAAGGATGTCCACTATCTCCACTCCTATTCAACATAGTACTGGAATTCCTAGCCAGAGCAATTAGGCAAGAAGAAGGAATAAAAGGAATACAAATAGGTAAAGAAACTGTCAAAATACCCTATTTGCAGATGACATGATCCTATACCTTAAAGACCCAAAAAACTCTACTCAGAAGCTTCTAGACATCATCAATAGCTACAGCAAGGTAGCAGGATATAAAATCAACATAGAAAAATCATTAGAATTTCTATACACTAACAATGAGCAAACTGAAAAAGAATGTATGAAAACAATTCCATTTACAATAGCCTCAAAAAAAATCAAATACCTAGGTGTAAACCTAACAAAAGATGTGAATGACCTCTACAAGGAAAACTATACACTTCTGAAGAAAGAGATTGAGGAAGACTATAGAAAATAGAGAGATCTCCCATGCTCATGGATTGGTAGAATCAACATAGTAAAAATGTCTATACTCCCAAAAGTTATCTACATGTTTAATGCAATTCCCATCAAAATTCCAGTGACATTCATTAAAGAGATTGAAAAATCTACTGTTAAATTTAAATGGAAACACAGGAGGCCACGAATAGCCAAGGCAATACTCAGTCAAAAGAACAATGCTGGAGGTATCACGATACCTGACTTCAAACTATATTACAAAGCAGTAACGATAAAAACAGCATGGTACTGGCACAAAAACAGACATGAAGACCAGTGGAACAGAATAGAGGACCCAGATATGAAGCCACACAACTATAACCAACTTGTCTTTGACACTGGCATTAAAAATATACGATGGAGAAATAGCCTCTTCAACAAAAACTGCTGGGAAAACTGGTTAGCAGACTGCAAAAAACTGAAACTAGATCCATGTATATCACCCTATACCAAGATTAACTCAAAATGGATCAAGGATCTTAATATCAGACCACAAACTCTAAAGTTGATACAGGAAAGAGTAGGAAATACTCTGGAGTTAGTAGGTATAGGCAAGAACTTTCTCAACGAAACCCCAGCAGCACAGCAACTAGGAGATAACATAGATAAATGGGACCTCATAAAACTAAAAAGCTTCTGTTCATCAAAAGAAATGGTCTCTAAACTGAAGAGAACACCCACAGAGTGGGAGAAAATATTTGCCAGCTACACATCAGACAAAGGACTGATAACCAGAATATATAGGGAACTTAAAAAACTAAATTCTCCCAAAACTAATGAACCAATAAAGAAATGGGCAAGTGAACTAAACAGAACTTTCTCAAAAGAAGAAATTCAAATGGCCAAAAAACACATGAAAAAATGCTCACCATCCCTAGCAATAAAGGAAATGCAAATTAAAACCACACTAAGATTCCACCTCACCCCTGTTAGAATAGCCATCATTAGCAACACCACCACCAACAGGTGTTGGCGAGGATGTGGGGAAAAAGGAACCCTCTTACACTGTTGGTGGGAATGTAGACTAGTACAACCACTCTGGAAAAAAATTTGGAGGCTACTTAAAAAGCTAAACATTGATCTACCATTTGATCCAGCAATACCACTCTTGGGGATACACCCAAAAGACTGTGACATAGGTTACTCCAGAGGCACCTGCACACCCATGTTTATTGCGGCACTATTCACAATAGCCAAGTTATGGAAACAGCCAAGATGCCCCACCACTGATGAATGGATTAAGAAAATGTGGTATCTATACACAATGGAATTTTATGCAGCCATGAAGAAGAACGAAATGTTATCATTAGCTGGTAAATGGATGGAATTGGAGAACATCATTCTGAGTGAGGTTAGCCTGGCCCAAAAGACCAAAAATCATATGTTCTCCCTCATATGCGGACATTAGATCAAGGGCAAACACAACAAGGGGATTGGACTTTGAGCACATGATAAAAGCGAGAGCACACAAAGGAGGGGTGAGGACAGGTAAGACACCTAAAAAATTAGCTAGCATTTGTTACCCTTAATGCAGAGAAACTAAAGCAGATACCTTAAAAGCAACTGAGGCCAATAGGAGAAGTGGACCAGGAACTAGAGAAAAGGTTAGATCAAAAGAATTAACCTAGAAGGTAACACACACGCACAGGAAATTAATGTGAATCAATGCCCTGTTTGGCTATCCTTATCTCAACCAGCAAAAACCCTTGTTCCTTCCTATTATTGCTTATACTCTCTCTTCAACAAAATTAGAAATAAAGGCAAAATAGTTTCTGCTGGGTATGGAGGGGGTCGGGGGGAGAGGAGGGGCGGAGTGGATGGTAAGGGAGGGCATGGGGGCAGGGGGGGAAATGACCCAAGCCTTGTATGCACATATGAATAATAATAAAAAAAAAAGGAGAATGATGGGATAAATTCAACTATGACATATTGTAAGGACTTTTGCAAATGTCATAATGTACTCCCAGGACAACAATAATATAATTAAAAAAAAGGAAGAAAAAGAAACTAGTGAATGTATTGGCATATATTGAAAAAAAAAATCAACCAGACTTTATAATAGTGTAGTTAGGGTTTTCTTTTTTTAATGCAAAACAAGCAAAATCATTTTAATGACAATTACAACTTTCATTCTCTTTTGAAGTAGAGAAGGAAAACTCACAGAATTATTTTGATAAAATTTTGTGTGTGTGGTTGTTTTCTTACAATTTCTTAAGTTCTATTAGCTATAATTTAAGTTTTCTATGGATTTTCACTTAGACCAGAGTTAAGGGTTTATTTGTTTTGAAACTTTTATTCCTCTATCAAAGAGAAAAGACCTCAAGTGGTTGTGTGTGTGTGTGTGTGTGTGTGTGTGTGTGTGTGTGTGCGCGCGCGCGCGCGCCTGCCTGCCTGCCTGCCTGCCTGCCATAAAGAGAAGAGATTCTAGAGATAACATAGGGCTAGGTGAAGAGTTTCTAAATATCTCTTGGTCTTTCAGAAAGCCAGAGATAAAGGTTAAGGGCTGCTCCCTTCCCAAAGAATAGCTGATGAAATCTGCCTCTCCTAAAGAACTCCCCACCTAAAATTTCTGGATTATAGATGATGTTTGTGTTTTATACCCATTTATGGAAGATAAAAGAGAGCAGGCCCTAATCAGAAAGTCCTTTCAAATTTATTAAAACAAACAGACCCCTGTTTCTAACTGTTAATTGGTTATAAATTATAATATCTAATATTATATTATCAATATTTTAAATATACTACTAGTGTAAAAATCATTGCAATCATTAAAACTGCATTACATTTAATCTGTCAGAAAATTGAGTCTGAGAAATAACTTAGTCATGCAAGGTATGAAATATGGCAAAAATGAAAAGGCAATAGAACATGAAAACAGAAGTAAAATATAAACCAGAAAGACTAGGAAAGAGAGGTTCAGTGATTGCCATGCCAACTATAAGTTGTAAATATGTGTGTTTCTTGGATTCGTATGCTTTAATTTCATGTTTGACACCATTTACTAGGAATTGATATGATTTTGAATGTTATTTCACCCACTTAGTTACATTTTAGTTACTTTCTGAAGTTTCTATAATCAGTCAAAAATTGAAAAGATTATTCATCCAGCTGATTTCTTTGCAAGAACTGGTATGCATCTGACCATATGGCAGGTGTACTGCACTTCTGAAAAAGGAAGTGATCACAGATGAACTCAATAAACACTCATCTGAATGATGGCTGCTGGCTCAGTGCTGTGCCTCAGGCAGACAGAAAAAATATGCCATTCAGCTCTTAAAAGTCTTATTAGTTTCAAGGAAAAATAAAACAAATGTAATTAAGAACTTAAATATCACTACCACAGTAAAAGTAGGTAAATCATGAGGTTTTCCCAAGATAAATGGAGCAGTGGCTAATTGTTTCAGAAAACCTTGCTGAGAAAAAGAATGCTTAATAGAAAATAAAATTTCTGATCGTGAGAAATTATTATTTTTTTAAAAAAAGAACTTCCTTTGAAAGTACTTTTAGCAAGGGCATGTCACTTCAAGAGAATCTAGACCAATATAAACGGTGGGCAGCCCCTCTCTTCAAAAAAAAAACATGTGAGGGGGAAATTATTGAGATTATTACTTGACCACAAAGAGGCAGAAAGCCCAGATACAAAGGAAGTAGATGACATTTGCATAAACTGTAACAACTAATAAAAGAGTAAAGCTGCTAAAGCCTGGAGTGAGTTTAAAATAAAGAGTTAAATAGAACTCAAGAGTTAAAATTGTACTTCAGCATATTGTAGAAGCTTAAATTAAAGATAGTTGACAGAAACAAATACATAATGTAAGATATATCATTGTGGCATTACAACTTATCTTTTTAAATGGAAATATGACTAGTCTGGTTTTGTTACATAAAGAAAGCATGGAATTTCTACTTTAAAGTAGAATATTAATTAGATTCCACAGATTACTTCTAAAGAGAGAAAATTTGTAATCCCAGGATACTTTTTGGGTTTTTTTGGTGGTACTGGAGTTTGAACTCAGGGCCTCATGCTTGTTAGGTAAGTACTCTATTATTTCCACTCTGTCAGCACTTTTTTGTGTCAGGTATTTTTGAGATAAGGTCTCTCAAACTATTTGCCCAGGCTGGCTTCAAGCCATGATCCTCTTGATCTCTGCCTCCTGAGTAGCTAGATTACAGGCATGAGCCACTGGAGCCCAGCCCAGTCCTTAAATAAAGATTTTAATGTTGAAAGAGAAAGTAAACAGGCAACTATTATAGGAACAAACATTAAGGTTCTGAATCTGTGTGTAGGGATACATTAAATATAAGACAATAGATAGCTGAGGACAACATGTAGAATCCCTAAGTAATATCTACACTATTTGAGTTCACCACAAAAAGCAATACCAAGAACAACTCTTTTGAATAGAAGAATATACACTGTGGTTCTCAAAGTATTCCATATTTCTCAAATTTATCTGACCACAGAAATGCTATTTTAGGTTTTTTTTTCCTGGTACAGGGGTTGAACTCAGAGCCTTGTACTTGCTGGGCAGGCACTCTACACTTGGGCCATGCCCCTAAGCCCTTTGTTTTATTTTTCAAGTAGGGTCTTACATTTATGCCTGGGCTGGCCTGGACCAAGATCCTCCTATTTACTCTTCCTAAACACCTGGGATGACAGGTATGCTCTATAATGCCCAGTTTTTATTGGTTGAGATGGGGTCTTGCAAACTTTTTTTGCCCAGGCTTGCCTTGACCCGTGATCTCCCAATCTGTCTCCTGAGTGGCTATGGCGCTGATCCCCAGAAATGCTTTAAAATTTGTTCTTAAGGAAACAGCTTGTAGGATAGGAGACAAATTTTAAATAATGCTAAATGGATAATACTTGCTTCTCATAAGTATTTATTTCATGCATCTGTTTGTCAATATTTGTAAATATTTAAGGGCAGAAAATGTGTCATATGCATTTTTTCTTCCTACTATTTTCTAAGTGCCAGATAATATGCTAAAAACTATATTATTTCAAATATTATATTATCTTAATCGTGGGAGGTACATTTTATATTTCCCCCATTTTATACAGAAGAAACTTGAGGCTATGAGAGCTTGAGCAACTTGTCCCAGGTCACTCAGCCAATAAGATGCTGAATTGGAATACAAACTCAAGTCTGCTCAAATCTGTGTGCATGTGTGTGTCTATGTGTATAATCCTGAGATACATACATACATATAAAAGTAAACATATATACAGTAAGCCTGCCTTATTTGTGGATACACACTGCTTTGGCTAAGTATGGTCAAAAAATAATCAAAAGAAATTTCAATAACAAAAACTTAAAAATATCCCCCCCCAAACACACTATATAGTTCAGTTGATGCAGAGAAATTCTCAATCAGTCCCATGTATCATCTGTTGTATTTAAATACTTGTGTGATCTACTGTGCATTTTCCTGCCCTCAATTTTATGAAAATATGCCTTTCAAAAAGCAAACAGTGCTCCAAAAGTAAGGTAAAAGCTAATGTGCTTAATTTATGTGATCAAGTAAAAATTTAGTGTTGAAAAATGGTATGTCTTTAGGTGAAGTTGGGTGACATTATGGGAAAAATTAATCAAGCACTCTCAATATAGTACTAAACTCTATGCATCCAGAGCATTTGTATGTTTTCTTCAAGGGTGATTTCATATCCCCCTTGAAAGGGTGGAATCATATCTGTAGATACCAAAGTCCTGCTGTATCTCCATCCCCTGTCATATACTAAGCACTTGATGCATGATTAAAAATGCTTTATTTGCTACCAACAATATTCATGTCCAATAATAATTAAAATCTGTCTTGAAGTTTTTCCTGAAGAAGACTTTCATCAATAACTAGGACATTCACAAAGTGCCATAGCCAGAGTAACTCTGTGACAATATAGTATTTTGAACCCCAGAGCTATTTTTAAATGTTTTTATAACTGAGAAATGCAACTGCAGTTATTAAGAGAATAGTTTCAGTTTTATTAAACAAGCTAACTTCTGTAATATGCCAGTTTCGTTTTAGTAAACAAAAATTTGGCTTAAAGGTGAATACATGGTAAATCATCTCTGAGATGACTCTATCATAAATGGTAATTTTTTTTTTGGTGGGGCAGAGATTTGAAGTCAGGGCTTTGCACTTGCAAAGCAGGCATTCTACTGCTTGAGGCACGCCTCCAGTCCATTCTGCTCTGATTATTTTGGAAATGGGGTCTCACAAACCATACCTCCAGTTCATTTTGCTCTGATTATTTTGGAGATGAGGGGGTCTCACGAACTATTTGCTTGGACTGGCCTTGAAGGTCAATCCTCCTGATGTCAGTCTCCAAGTAGCTAGGATTATAGGAGTGGACCACCAGTGCCCAGCATAAATAGTAAATCTTTATTCCTGTTGTTGTTCTCTCTATAACCTCTAATAATCTGGATGAGTTAGTCCTATCAGAAAGTGGGCCATACCTTAAGTATTTCACATTTGCACTACTTGAAATAGAGATAAATAACACTACATTATATCTCAAGGACCATATGTATTCAGGTTGTAACATATTTAAGCTTTGTATAATAACCACACATATTTTTATCATAATTAAAATGAACACTTGTCAGAACTGTTGATTTTCCTGTTTCATATTATGCCTTTTGCTTTCAAAGTACTGGAGTGCTGGTAGTCAGTAATATATGGAATAGAATGAAAACAAGAAAGGAAATTGAAAAGAAGAAAACCCAAAGCAACAAAAAAGTTGTTTCCATTCAACTGTACTCTAGTAAGGCTCTCAGATCATCAATTTTTATCACCAAAATGTTTTACCTGAAACTCCTCTGCAAAGCAATCACAGCAGATGGAAGCTTCTTTAATCTCTTTCTAGTCTGGTAGCCCTTCCAATAAGCTTGAATCAAGCAAGCTGACTGATGAAGTTTCTGAAATTATATATCAGAAATAATTTAGAGACAGCTCTTGAAGTCTTTTAAAAAAGATTACCTCTTGTGTGAAGCCGTAAGTTCAAACCCCACTACCACCAAAATAAACAAACAAATAAATAAATAAAAAGTTTACCTCTTAAAATATCAAGTAGGGCAAGTATGAATTCCCATCTCTAATAAGATGGATAGGAGGCAACATTAAGTTCATAGGGAAGAACTAAGAATACTACCTCACACAGGTATGTGAGATTTAGACAATATTAGGAACATATTCAAGATATAGTCTGTTTAGCTCCAAATTCTCTCTAGTTAACTCACTTCCTTTTCAAAGATTTCATCATTCTCCTTAACCTTTCATAATTCGTTTTGAGCTAATGTTTTTATTTAATAGGCAACTAACCTGGTTCAGCTGAGAATATAAACTCTGTTGACCTGTGGGTAGTTGTTCAAATCTGTTTAGTTGTTAGCTTTTTGGATGCTATTTTGTGTCTATACAGCATATGCATAGTTTTGAGATTAGTCTAAGGTTTGTGAAGGTTCACATTCAGGTATAAGAAATTCTCTTTCTTTGCTCTCTTCCTTACAGGTTCTTCTCTTCATCCTCCTGATTAACTGGACTTCTTTTCATTACTTTTTTGGCTTAGGATTTTAGATATATAATGAACTCATTTCCTTTTGTATTAAAACTTGTTTTATTATTTTTAATGAACAAAATATGTTTTATTTTAAGTTCTCACCTAGAAATCAGAAAGCTATATGCCTCTTTCTATTGGAATGAGCGATCTGGAGCTATCAATTTGAGTAAATCAGAGGAAGTATGATAAAACAGCCAGTAGCTTGCTGCCTCAAATTTTTTTCTTTCCTTTTTTTTGCAGTACTGAGGTTTGAATTCAGGCCTTGTGCTTTCTAGGCAGGCACTCTATCACTTGAGCCATGTTCCCGGCTCTAACTTCTAAATTTTTTTTATTAATACAATTTTTTACATGGAGGCAAAATGCATTATTGTTATCTCTCAAGGATATATGGCCATAAACATAGTTTGCTATAATAGAGATTTTTTTTGAAAAAAAAATTTTAAAGTTTAAATAACTTATAGATAAAAAAATAAATAGGAGAGATAGGGATTTCAAGACAGAATCTGAAAAAAATGTGTGCTTGTACCTATAAACAGGTATAGAAGGGAGACTGAAATTTTGTTTATGGGTAGGGCTGAATAGAAGAAAGATAGAAAATCTTAAAAGATATTTCTACTTTCTAGGGAAGCATTTTGCTTAATGTGTTAAGAGAATGAGACTGAGGAATACTTAAGGAAAGCTGAGGTTCAATACAGTCAGCAAATAGCACACTAATTATTTTCATAATTTAATACCTGCTCTTCTCCTTCCTGATAGACCTTAGGGCTTAAAAGATCAACAAGCTGTCTAAATTCTTGACTAAATTCTGTCCTGGTTTCCTGTTTATTTAGTAGACTTCTGAGACCTGAAATAGAATAACAAAATGTACAAAAATTAAGAATGAAGTATAATTTTGTTATGTAATCAGTATTAATTGAAGTTAAAAAGTCTGGTTTAGAATGAATGAAAACAAGATTGATTAATCACGTGGCTTTTCTTTTTTGAGGCAGGGACTTGCTACATAGCCCATGCTGACCTTTAGATCTGCAGTCTTAGCCTTCCAAGTCCTATATTAGATGTGTGCTAATACACTGGGGATCACATTTTTCTATTTCTTTTTCTAAAAGACTTCTAAGTTGAATTCTCTGTCCTGAGAATTCTTATTTTTATGTGCTCACTTGTAAAATGTGATGGAAAAACATGTATAGACAATCTTTTTTTTTGAACGCAGGGCCTCATGCTTGCTAGGCAGGTGCTCTACCACTTGAGCCAATTCTCTAGCCCTGTTTTTGTGTTGGGTTTTTGAGACAGGGTTTCATGAACTATTTGCCAAGTGGTGCTTCAATATGTGATCTTTCTGATCTCTGCCTCCTGAGTAGCTAGGATTATAGACATTGAGCCCATTCCTCCAGCCCTGTTTTGTGTTGGGTATTTTTGAGATAGGGTCCCGTGAACTGTTTGCCTGGGCTGCCTTTGAACCGCAGTCCTCCTGATCTCTGCCTCCTGAGTAGCTAGGATTATAGGCATGAACAACTGGCACCTGGCTTAGACAATCTTTAATAAAAAAAATGGCAGTGGAATCATTGTGGTAAGCAAAGCTAATTTATTTTTCCGTTTGAATATTAACACTTTAAACTGGAACATTTTTAAAAAGGTAATTACTCAGTGTATGCCTAACCTGAGGAAGCACTTAAACAGGTTATTATTAGTCATTATGAATTAAGGGAAGTTGTCAATAAATAAAAATACACTGCCATGTAATGTTAGGGCAAGTCAACAGGTTTCTGAGCAAATGTAGAATAAGTGCTGTAACACTAGGAGACTGTACCTTCATCCCAAAATAATACAGAATAGTAGTAAAAGGTAGAGGGCCCTTTATTTTCAGAGCATGTTGGAATAATGTACTATATAACATATTCAGTATAAATAAGTGAATAAAATGGCCTTGCAGTATACAACTGATGAAGTCATTATATGAATCTTTTCATGACTTATATTCTCTTTTAAGTCCCAAGTTCTTAGCAGTGTTGGTAACTATAAACTATCTTGAAGAACTGGAGTATGCTCTGCTGTTGAGATATCAAAGAAGGGAAGAAGGAGGAAGGTTCTTTGTAAAGAACTCTGTTATGTATTCACATTTCTGCAGGATTCTAATTGTAGAATTCAAAAATGACTATCTAGAATAGTAGAAATAGAGTTCTAGTACTGGCACTTTCTCTCCTCTTTATTCCTACAATACATAAAAATATTAAAATGTCTACAAGTAATGACTCAAATAAGGTATATTACTAAAGTGCCTTCTACATCAAGAATGGCCATTCTAATCATTTAGGCATTAAATGATCATATAATTTTTAAGAGTCCTATGAAAATAATTCTATATTAAATGTATTTGGTGAACTAGAAATCCATTTCTTGACTATGCCAAATATAAAATATATTATCATTAACACATGGGTTTGGTTAGAAAAATAAAACTGACATATAACTTTGGGAGTCTGAAAAAATACATTACCTGTTACCTTGGGTAAATTACCTAATTTTTCCATGCCTTTTACTCCATATTTATAAAATGAGGATAAAAGTATCCCATAGGATTATTTTAACAAATAGCTTAACCATATAAGGTATGCAGAGCAGTGTCTCACATGTAGTAAAGGCTCGGTTAAATGAAAGCTATTATACAAAATTTCTGACTTCTTATGTATATGTGCTTGATTCTGGAGGTAAGGCAGACTTTGTTGTCATTTTAAGTAAATGCAGTGAGGAGTTAAAGAGTAACTTATTAACTGATATAAAGACCTAAAGGGTTATCAACCTCTCAAGCACAGTTCTGTTTTCTCCACTAAAGCTACTCTTGATAAGGTCACTGATCCCTGGTCATTATTTTACTACAGTAAATGGTATATTCAACACACAACATTTTTGTCAGAGAGGGAGTAAATATTTATTGTAACCATATCAACAAAGTACACATGCCATCTGTTGAGACACAAAGATAGCTTGATTATATTAAGACTTCATTCTGAAATGGTGTCTGCTGCAATAGGATTTTATCTGCGTAGTTTGGTTATTAACTTTCCAAAATATAAGAATTTGTGCTTCATAAACCATCAATAAAAATTTTCTTTGCAAGAATTCCAAGAAAATAAAATATATATATATATGTTCTACCTTTGTGGCAGGCACTTAGTCTCAGCAAAATCAAAATTTCCTGATGGGATTCAGCCATTAGCAGTAGGAGCTTTGTAGCAGTACTTCTTATGACTGGACTAGAAGTTGATAAAAGCTTGAAAACAACTTCTTCTAAAATAGAATGCAGTGCTTTTCCTTCTATCTTGAGTAAATCACCACTAATATAACAAAATTTTTAAAAAGTATCATTATTAATTGATACATAGTTATCAGAAACAAACTTAAAACAAAAGATTCAGTAACTTGATGTCTGTCTGTGAAATGATCCAAGAAGGTAACCACTTTTTAAAACATGTAGCTTGGTCCCAAGAATATTCTAATGTGAATTAATTATTACTGAATTCCTACTGTGGACAAGGTACCATGTTAGGTACAATACAGAATGCAAAATAGGCAAGTTCTCTTCTCAGAGAAACTTGCAATCAAATTGAGTAGGAAGAAAAACTTGCAAAACATTACAAAACAAGTGATTCGAAACTTTAAGGCAACAATAAGAACAAAAATCACAAGATGATGCAAGGTTAATTGCTATGTGCTTAATTTATAAGGATCTTTAATTTTAACTCCTTTTCTATTTCCTTCATTTTGCTAACAACCTCATTTTGCATTAACTTTTTGAAAATTATAGTTTAGCATATAAAATCAAAATGATTTTAAGAGAAAAAGAGATTAGTACCTAAATTGAAAAATCTCAGAGTTGAGAGACTTTAAAGGTCATCTAAATAAAATATAGAAGAATCTTTGTGATATCTGTTTCCATTCTAGCTTGATTCTGATGCCATTCCTTATGCCAGGGATGCTCATCTTTTTCCCTGCATTACTCATTGGCATTACACATTCAAAGCTTAGGCTAAAAATATGCTTATTTCAAAAAGCTTTCTATAGATAAACCTATCCCAATCTAATACTTCTTTACTCCATGTCCCATAAAAGTTTATGTTATATCATAATACATTCAAATGCTTTTAAATGCTCTTTAATATTAAATCCTAGAAATTTTTCTACAGACCACTAACTGCCATCTTTCTGCTTCTCTTCTAATCCAACTTCCCTGTCTCTACTTCTTCATCTTCCATTCATTTCTCAAATGACTACACTTGACATTCTTCCTCACTACTTCATTATACTGTCCTTGATTTCTGCTTCAATCTTTATCAGTCATTTTCTTTGGATTAGAGTTTAATTATCCCTTCTTTTCCTAGTTTCCTAAATTAGAAACTGAGGTTACTATGTGAGATTTTTCTTTTTCAATATAGTCATAAATGATTTAAAATTTCCCCTAAGTACTATTTTTAATTAAGATGCATCCCAGAAATTCTCATGTCATTTTCATTTCCATTCATTGAATAATAATTTCTAATTTTAGTTTTGATTTCTTCTTGTGGATTATTTAGATATATATTATTATTTCCCATATATTAGGAGACTTTTCAGAGATCTGCTTAGCACTAATTTCCAACTCAATTCCACTGAGGCCAGAATAATACAAATAAATTTGTATTATTTAAATCCTTTTAAGTTTATCAAAACTTGCTTTATGGCCCAGAAAATGGAGTAAATGTTCAAATTTGTATTTGAAAGAAATGTGAATTCTGCTGTTGTTTGGTAGAATGTTCTAAAAAATGTAAATCAGGTCAAGTTGGTTGATGTTGTTCAAATCTTCTGTGGTCTAATTTTTTGTTCATTATTTTGTCAGTTATTAGAAAGCATATTGACATCTTTCACTTTAACTATTATTTCTCTCCTTGCAATTATATCAATTTTTTCTTATGTATTTTTGAACTTTGCTATTAAGCCAATAAACATGTTCTCTTGATGAATCAATTTCCTTATGATTACCTGGGTACTCCAGCTTTCTTTTGACTAATATTGGCCTGGAATACCTTTTTTTCCAATCTTTTATTTTTAACTTATTTGTGTTTATATTGAAGGAACATTGCTGGTAGGCTGCATATAGTTGGTTCCTACTTTAAAAAATCCAATTGATCAATGACTACTTTTTAATTTGGGGTTTCAACCATTTTTTGTAGATTATAGGTATTTTTAAATCTACTGCTTGTTTTTTTATTTGTTTGCCTATATTTTATTCACTGTTCTCCTTTTTTTTTTTAAGAAAACATAACTGCTTTCTTCTGGATTATGCATTTTTAAATTATTCTTTTGTATTGCTTTTATCACTGGCTTAAGTCCTTTGATTATTATGTACCTTGATGTGAAATTTTCTTCATATTTATTTTTTTGGGGTTTGATAAGCTTTTTGAATCTAAGAAGTATATAATTTTCATAAAGTCTGGAAAGTTTTCAACCATTATGTTTTCAAATATTTTTATGACCCTACTACCTTCTTTAAATATTCTTGATTATACCTATATCATGCTCACTGATGTGCTTTTGTTTCTCTCGCTTTTTCTCTTATTTTTTGTTTTATCTTGGATAGCTCCTATTGGTATGTCTTAAAAGTTCTCTAATCTTCTGCAATGTTAATTTGCTGTTAATCTCATCCAGTGTATTTTGCATTCCAGACACTGCAGATTTCATCTGTAGAAATTCAGCTTGGGTCTTATGTCATATAGGTTCTATTCAACTTTTTAAATATACTGACTTTAGTTATAAGAAATATTCTAATGTCCTTGTCTATTTCAAACATATGTATCATTCTTGATAAAGTGATTCTTCTCATTATGTGTACTATTTTCCTGCACTTCTTTGCATATAAAATGTGAATTTTATCTTGTTGAGTCTGTTCAGAAATAAAAAAAATCAGTAACATTTTATAAAACAAAGTCACCTATTGAGCTGTATTATGTTCTGTAGCCCAGTCATGGCTGTAGAATATCATTGTTTGCAATAAATTCAAGAAATAGTCACTTTGTAGTACTAACGGAAGAAGGGAAAAAAGAGTAATCAAAGCAAATATTCTATGATGAAACAAGTATGGTTTGCTTATTCTTTTAAAGACATGACCTTTTTTCTTTTTTTGCTAAACTTCTTGCCTTTGTATGCCCTAAAATAAAAAAGATTTAAAGTATAGGCAGTTTCCATAACTGTGCAGTTAAGATACTTTGAAACAGTTTTATTCCTTCAGATGTTGTTTTTATGATTAATATGGATAGTCTAGAATAGTGTTCAGTCTAGTGCTAATTATTCCCTACTACTAAGGTGAAACCTACCTGAATATCTTACCCAATGTCCCATTATTTATGAGGCTTTTCAGTTTGGCTGTTGGAAATAGGCACTATTTCCTGCTCTATATAAAGTATTGGCATTTTTCTTTTTAATCCTCTTGAATTGTTTTCCCTGACATACGTGCTGATCAGTGTTCTACTGTATACATGAAGGGAAGTCTGCCAATCTTGGTTCAGATCTCTTTTCTTTGGTATTCTACCTTACGTACTCTAGTCATCTTCTTCTCCCTAGACTCTCAGCTCTATTTCTTCAACTCAGGCTAACCAAGATATCCATTCTGTACACCAAAGCCTAGAAACTCTCTCAGTACAAAGTCAGGGTACTTAAAAGGTTCACTTTTGCTACAGTTTGGATCTTGAATGTCTCTTAAAGGCCTATATGTTAAAGGCTGTGTTCAGGGTGGTATTGGATCTTTTGGGGCCTTTTGGGAGGTCCTTAGATCAGTGGTGGGCACATCCTTCAAGAGGGTTATGAGCCCATGGCCCCTTCATCTCTCTTTTGCTTCTCAGCCATGAAGTCAGTGAGAATGCCATACATTCCTACCATGATGTGCTGCCTCATCACAGGCTGCTGATCATGGACTATACCCTCTAAAATTGTAAGCTGAAATAAACATTTTCTTTTTAAGTTATCTCAAATTGTTTGATATAGTGACCGAAACCTGACTAACACAACCTTACTTACATATTAATTAAGTGGTATTTAGTTTCTTGAAAACTGATGTTTCCTGTTTTGTCTTTTTTTTCTTCAGGTGAGAGGCAAATCCATCCCTATTCCATCTTAATCAAAAGTGAAGTCCTGATGATTGTAATTCACTGTATTTTTAAAAATCCATTCCCTTGGGCTTCAGTGCCCAAGACCAAGATTTCATTACTTCACTTGCATTGCTATGGTTGCTTCCTCTAATTTTTTTATTTCAGTGCTAGGGATTGAACCTAAGGCCTTTGCATGCTAGCCAAGTGCCCTACCAACTAAACTACATCCCCACATCTCTAATTGCCTTCTTGTATACAGTTTTGTTCCTCTTATCTTCCCTACATAGTCACCAGAATAATAAAAATTGAAACATAATCAGATCATATTCGTCTACTTAAAAAATCTTTAATGGTCCCTACTGCCTATAGCGTAAGACTAAGTTTTCTTAACACAGCACATAAATTTTTTTATGACTTAAGTCTTAGCCATCTCTGATATTGAACTTTAAATCACAGCAAGATAAATTGTCCCTACTTTTTAATCTCTGCATGTTTTTCATCTCTGTGCTTCTGCATGTTACAACATTTCTTTCTCCTCACTCTCCCAGGCTAACTTATGATCCTTAAAGCTTCTCCAGGAAGCGTCCTCCCTCAGTTTGGTTTAAAAACTACTTTAGTACTTGTGTACAACTTTAATACTGCAAGCCATAATATACTTAATGTTCACATGTCTGCCTCTTCCATTCTACTGTAAGCTCTATGAAGACAAGATTTATATCTGAGTCAAATTTGTAAATACAATGTCACAGTATTTGGCATAGTCGTCGCTTAATAAATCCACACTGAAGTGAAAGAATGAATTTTTCAACTAAATATATTCTGCCTTTATGTTTTAATGTGGGAATAGTCTACTACTTCTTTTATAGTCTTATTTTAGCATTAATCACAATACTAAGCTTGTTGTTTGTTAAATAAACATGTAAGTAAGCATTTTTTTATTGTGATCTCAGTTTTTTTTTTTTTTTCAGATTACACTAATTCTCTTTCCCAAGCTCACATTTTGGCTTAAGACCTTCTTAAGCTCTAAGATAAGATACCAATTTAATAATAAATTTCTAATCTTTTACAGTATTTTATTTTAACTTTTTCTGAAAGATAATCATAACAGAGTTTAAGTATCATGTATAAGTCACATGCAACTGATTTTAGTAAAACTGGAACAAAATTGGTTATGTTTCTGATAAAAAAAAATTAGCAACATTTTATAAAACCAAGTCACCTGTGGATCTGTAGTATATTCTGTAGCAGAGTCATGACTGAAGATCCTATTTGAACATTGTCAGTTTGCAATAAGTGTAAGAACTGATCACTTTGTAGCACTAAAAGAATGGGGAAAAAAGGAAAGATTAAAAGAAAGATTTTGTAATAACACAAGTGGGATTTTGCCCTTTAAAACCAAATCAAAGCATGACCATTTTGGCTAAATTTCCTGGCTTTGTATTGCCAACACAAAAGTTTCTAAGATGTAGGCAGTTTTAAATGGCCATAAGTAATAGTCTTTCAATTTTTGATGGATAGTTATAGTCAAGGCAGCATCTATAAATGTCAGCCTAAGATTTTATTATTACCTCTCTTTAAACTGAAAATTACATATCTGAATTCCTTTTTTCTAGCAATGAATTTCACTGAATAAATGATAATGATAATATTGAATGAAATATTTTTATCAGTTTATAATTTTTAGGCTCTGAGCAGGCAGTTCATGAAAACTGTTTCTGGATGTATATGCAAGTTGCTTAACCTTTCAGAACCTCTGTTTCTGTGAAACTAGAAATACATAGTTCTCACACAGGCTAAGGTATAATGTCCAGAAAAGAGAATGTTCCTAATAAAGATATCAGTTCCTATAGTAATGTTCCTATAAATAAATTATCAGTTTATATTCCTCTTTTACCAAATAAGTAGAAGATTAATCCAAGTGACAGTAGGTATCTTGGTAAATTGGCTCTGTAGATACTACACTAGTCTCTACAAAACAACTTTGCTCTTTTCTCCTGTCTCCTGAGGAACAGATTTGTTTTCTTTCCCACACTAACTTCCATTCTTCATTTCTGTTTACATAGTCCAGTATTTCACTACACACTATTTTTCAAATGGTTAACAACTTAGAAAAAATGTTTCCATGGATGTTCATATTGTTACTTTAGTAGTAAAAGAAATTCTCTGTAGGTAGATTAAGTATATTTCCCATTTCTGAATATTTAAAAATGTTTATTAACAACTCTGGAATTAACTTTGAATTCACTAAAATCATATGGCTTATAGCACATATTAAGTTTCTTTTTTTCCTCTGGTGGAAAACTTATGCTAAATTAATTTATTAATGTCATTCCATTTTATTTTTTATACTGTTTGTCTTATAATACATTACTAAAGAACTTATTTTTATTGCCTCTATTCTGTTTTTCAACTATAGTCAACTGATACCCAATTTATATATTTATTTAAACTTATTGTAATGAAAGTTTCAAAGACACATAAAAGCCAACAGGATAGTATCCCCATAAACTAGTCAATCAATCTTAGCAATGATCAACTTGTATACAAACATACTTTATTTAGTCCCATCTACTTTCATTTTATTTTTAAACAAATCGAAGACATTAAATTATTTTGTCCATAAATATTTCAATATAATTGCCATAAGTTATAAACTGCTAAACAATAAAATCAAGTATCTTATCTAAAAAAAATTATGTCAATGTCATCCAACAGCCAATCAAGTGTTCTAACTTTTAATTGTTTTCTGTATTTTTAAGTTTGTTTCAACTAAGATTCAAGTAGACCAGGCACCTGTAGTTCATGCCTAGCTACTCAGGAGGCAGAGATCAGGAGGATCACAGTTCCAAGCCAACCCAGGCAAATAGTTCACCAGACCCCATCTTGAAAAGACCCATCACAATAAAGGACTGGTGGAGTGGCTCAAGGTGTAGACCCTGAGTTCAAACCCCAGTAGTGCCAAAAAAAAAAAAACCCCAAAAAGATTCAAATAAGATCCATAAAATGTGATTGACAGCTTTCAAACTTCTTTTAATCTACAGATTGAATAATCTATTTTATTTCTGTTGAAATGTATTTGTTGAAGAAACTGTATCAATTGTCCTATGAGTTTCTCACAGTCTAGTTTTATTAATTGCATGCCTGAGGTGTCATTTGTTTCTCTAATTCTCTTTAACATGGAAGTTGGAACTAGAGGATTAAAATGACTCAGGTTTGAATTTCTAGCACATCTGTGATGTTTTGATACTCCATTTGGAAGCACTTAATGCCTGTTTATCTTTCTTTTGGGATGCTGACAACCATAGCTGATCAATTCCTAAACCTGTTAATTCACGAGGGGTTGCAAAATAGGTGTTGTTCTATTATGCATTCTAATTGGCATACTTTCACATAGAGCAAATCTTCCTTATTTGTGTGCAAGAAAAGGAGGGTAAGTGCTAGATTCTTCATTTAATTGTTTTAAAAAATGAATTAATTCCCTGACTCCAATGTTGATATTTGGTATGTTCCAATTCACTGCAGTTATTATCCTTTTTACTGTTCAAATGCCCTTTATTTGGCTAGGAGAAGCCTCCTTATGTTAGATCTTGAGTCCTTTCACAGAATCCTAGTAGACTTTGATGAATTCCTTTACATCTGGTATTTAAAATACTTCAAGTTTATTTGTATACTTTCTATCCCAGGCCTATAGTCAGCATTTCTCTAAGGAGGTGATTCCTTTTAGAAGGAAAAGTTTATTGGAAACCTATTTCCAAAGTACTAATTAATTTTTGATTATTAATTTTACAATCATTTAAGCTAGCTTTAATAACCACTTTACGGATGTTTTAACCCCTCAGATCCAAGAATATTATCACTTTTGTTACAGTTCTACTCAAAATGGAATATGGTATATTTCTAAAATTGTTCAAGTATTCTTTCTGTTTTTACTACTCTTTTACATCCACAGTCCTAAGTACCTTATATTTTTGGTTAAATAGTCTTTTAAATTGGGAACATATAATATTTGTTACACAATGGGCAATTAATAGATGATGCTTTAAAGAAAAAAGAAAGTATTTAGGCATGTCACTTAGCAGTATGGATATAACTACCAAAATATTAGTTATACTAATTGAAAGTAGTTATTTTAGAAAATGAGAAATGGGGTTTGAATTTCATTTGCAAAGCAGGTATACTACTGTTTGAGTCACACATCCAGTCCATTTTGCTCTGGTTATTTTGGAGATGGAGCTCATTAACTGTTTGCCTCATACTACAATCCTCCCGATCTCAGACTCCCAAGTAGCAAGGATTACAGATGTGCACCACCAGCACCCAGCTTGCATTTTTCTTAATAATAGTTATAGAAGTATTTGGCTCTTTAAGTGCATGCATGATTATAAAGGCAAAAAAAAATAGAATTACAAATAAAAATTCTGTGATGGGGCAACCAAACCAATGTACAATGTACGGCTATCCAGACTTGTCACACTGGATTCTCCCTGAATATATGCTAATAAGAATTTTTAAAAATTCAGTTTAAATGTTACTACCTGGAACCCCCTCCTACAACATTCTTATTTAATTTATGTGATATGAAATTCTTCAAGAGAGTAGAAGTTGTGCCATGATTATTAGTAATGATCACTTTCTTAGTCTTAAAAGAACAACATAAAATTAACATGTATTTTTTTATTTCTCAAGACAAAAAGAAATATACAAAATAACTCTGAAGTTCAGTAAATGTCATAATAGAAAAGCTTGCATTTACATGGGAAGGCTATGAGTTAAACCTTGTCTACTCTGCACAGTGTTTCTTCCATAGTAGATCTAAAACACTATAATCTTTGAAACTTAGATTATATTTCTTAAAACTATTCAAATTATTAATCCTTATCTCAGATCTACTAAATAAAAAAAGCTAAGGAGAAAAGTTATGTTTTAGCAATATTCCCTTTAAAATAATGTTCATATTGTCAATGCTTACTATTTAAAGCTGGAATATTTAAATAGCTTTCTTTTTTTGATTGCGGGGTTATTTCAGCATGGCTTCACTTCACTGTGGTTATCTGTATAGTTTATAAGGCATTTATTTTTAGAGACAAAAGATCAAACTATTAGCAGTTACTTTTACAATGACTATCAGTTACATTAAAGTCTTTTCTCTTACCATTTTGTATGAGTTGAACATGGCCTCCCAATAACCAGAAGAGAGAATCAGTCACAATTTGGAAAAAATGTAGCAATTCATCTTTTTCTTCACTCTTAATACAAAAGACAAGCTAAATTTACTTTTTTTTGTAATTTGCCTTATTAAAAAGAAAAAGAGAGCGAGAGAGAGGATGGAGGTGTGGCTCAAGTGGTAGCGTGTCTGCTTAAAAAAAAAAGTTCTCTATAGAAATTCAAGACTGGACTTCTAGGTCTAACAGCTGTTTGTGATGTAGTACATGATCTTGTAGTCTTTAGTTTCTAAAAGTTGTGGTTACAGTGAATTTATGAATACTCACTCTACCTGCTATCTATGGTTGTTATCCAGATAAAATATAAGAATTGTAAGTTAATACATTAGGATTTCTTGCCACTTTTTATGAATCAGAATCATCTGTAGAGCTTTTAAAATACACTTGTGCACAGGCATTAGTCCAAATATATTGAATCTGAATCTCCAAAGGTAAAGTCTGGATATCTGTGTTTTCACAAAGTTAGGTAGGTGATTTGGTTATGAAGCCAAGGTTCAAATTCACTGCAAAATGCAAATGTAGGTGTCAGCATGTAAGGCACTGGTAATAGTGCTTTCATTTCCAGGTCCTACACTCTATGATTTCATGAGGGTATAGACCATGCAATTTAGCTCCTCACTGTAACTTAGGTAGGTGATTTGGTTATGAAGCCAAGGTTCAAATTCACTGCAAAATGCAAATGTAGGTGTCAGCATGTAAGGCACTGGTAATAGTGCTTTCATTTCCAGGTCCTACACTCTATGATTTCATGAGGGTATAGACCATGCAATTTAGCTCCTCACTGTAACTCAGTGTTTATAGTTTTCATATATAGTAAATGTTCAATCAATATTTATTCAATAAAGAAATTATATTTTTCCTGGTTTTGCCTTGCAGAAAGTAAGGTGAGAGACTTCAGGTCATAAAACATTTAGCTTAATCATTCTTAATTGACTAAATCAAACATTGGCTTAGAGTAAAAGGGTAGAAGATTTTCCAAGCAAATGGCAGGGGAACCTATATTGATATCTGATAAAATAGACTTCAAACTAAAATTAGTCAAAAGAGACAAAAAAGGTCCTCTATACTAGGAAAAGGAATACATCAAGAGGAAATAACAACTGTTAAGTTATATGCATCTAATGTCAAAGCACCCAACTTCATTAAACACTACTGTAATAAAAAAGCATAGACTCCCCAACACAATGATAGTATGAGACTTCTATACCCCACGATCACAAACAGATGGGTCATCCAGACAAAAAAAATCAACAAGGAAACCTCAGAATTAAATGATATATAGACCAAATGGTCTTAACAGATATCTACAGAGTATTTCATCCAGCAGCAGCTGTTAAAGATTTTCCTCAGCAGCCCATGGAACTTAATCCAAAATAAGCCATAATTTAGGACACAAAGCAAGTCTTAACAAATATTAGACTCCCTATCCCATCAGACCACAATGGCATAAAATTAGAATTCAATAACAAACCTTGGGATACAGCAAAGGCAGTGCTAAGGAGAAAGTTTATAGCTAAGAGTGCCTATATTTAAAAAAATAAAAGAGAGATCTCAAATAAATGAGCTGCACCTCAAGCTGCTAGAAAAACAGAACAAGTTAAGTCCAAAATTAGAAGAAGGAAAAAAATAATAAAAATTAGGTTAAGATCAATGAAATAGAAGCTAAAGAAACTATACAAAGAATCAATGAAACAAAAAGTTGTTTATTCCAAACGATAAATAAGATTGATAAACGCTTAGTCAATCTGACTAGAAGAAGGAGGAAAAAGACCCAAATAAATAAAACTCAGAGATGAGAAATGGGATATACAACAAATACCACTGAAATCCAGAGCATCATTAGGGAATACTTCAAAAACCGATACTCAAACAAACTGAAAAATCTAGAAGCAATGGATAAATTTCTATACCAACCAAAATTGAACCAAGAGGGCATAAGCCACTTAAGTAGATCTATAACAAGAAACGAGACTGAAGCAGTGTTAAAGAATTTCCTGACAAAAAAATTGCCCAAGAGCTGATGGATTCCCTGCTGAACTCTACCAGACCTTTAAAGAATTAGTACCAATACTCATCAGACTTTTCCCTGAAATAGAAAGGGAAGAAACACTACCAAACTCATTCTATGAAGCCAGTATTACAATCATTCCAAAACCCAAAAGGGACACAAAAATAAATAAATAAATAAAAAGAGAGAAAGAGAGAATTATAGGGGAATCTCTTTAATGAACATAGATATAAAAATTCTCAATAAAATATTGGCAAACCAAATTCAACAACACATGAAAAACATGATCAAGTCAGTTTCATTCCAGGGAGGCAAGGGTGGTTCAACATATGCAAACTGATAAATATAATGCAGCACATAAACAGAAACAAAGACAAAAAAAAATCACATGGTCATCTCAACTGATACAGAAAAAGCCTTTGACAAAATTCAACATCCTCTCTTGCTAAAAGCTCTGAAGAAACTAGGAATAGAAAGAATGTACCTCAGCATAATAAAGGCTATATACCACAAACTTACAGCCAATATCATAGTAAATGGGGAAAAACTGAACAAGATAAGGGTGTCTACTATCCTCACTCTTAATAAATGTAGTTTTGGCATTCCTAGCTAGAGCATTAAGACTGTTGCAGAGGGGATAGGGGAAAAGGGTAAGGGAGAGTAATAGATGGAGTTAATCTGATTAAAGTATAATATATTCTCAGGTGAAGTGCTATGGCAAAACCCCTTGGAAGAATGAATATACATTTAAAAATTGAAGGACAGGAATGTAAAACAGGTCCTATTAAGAAGGTTGGTAGTAGTGGGAGAGAAAGGATAAATAGAGAGGGTGAATATGGTCAATATACTTTATATACTTGTATGAAAATGAAACAATGAAACCTGTTATAATCATTTTAAGTAGGGGGGAAGAAGATGAGGAAGAATGATGGTGGGGATAAAGCTAACCAAGACACATTGTAGGCATATATGGAAATATCATGATGAAATCCCCTGTACAATTAATATGTGCTAATTTAAAATGTTTTTTAAAAATATTTTTAAAAACACTTAATTTATATATATAAAAAAAAGCCTGATTTTGCCTGCAGGTCAATTAACTGTTCCTAACTGATTATAAAGCTTTTGCTGATCAAAATTATAAACTCTGGAGAAAAATATCAAAAAACAATTGCTTGAAGGTCTGGAGAGGAAGCAAAAGCACACAGATATGACACTGAAAGAAAATGTACTAGTTAAGAAACAAAAGCTGATAACCCCACCCCCAACTGCCCACTCTATACTCTTGCCTGACTATCATTGAATTCTTCCTGGGTTTTGAACCTGCTGGTACTATGCTATCAGAGATAATGGTTCACAGGATTTTGAATTTAGACTGGAGCTATGCCATTTGTTGGCCTCTAGAATTGCCAATTTCTCATAATCAATCAATACATTGAGAGAGGGAGAGAGAGAGAATTGGTCCTGTTTTTCTGGAAAAACTTAATACATCTAGCTTTTTCTGTGAGAGTTCTTACAGTCTGTGTGGAACATGGACAAGGAGCTTAGACAAAAAACTATAGTCTATTAATGCAGTCTTCAAAGAATTGCCAAAAAAATTCCAAAATATATATGGAACCACAAACGACCTCAAATAGCCAAAGCAATATAGAGAATAAAGCTGGAAATATCGCACTGACTTCAAAATGTACCACAAGGTTATAGTAACCCAAACATCATGGTAATGGCATAAAAACAGACACATGGATCAATGGAATGCAATAGAGATCCCGAATAAATCTATAGCCAATGTATTTTTTACAAGTATGACCAGAATACATATTGGGGAAAGGTTACTCTCTTCAACAAATGGTGCAAGGAAAATTGAATATCCATATGCAGAATTAGACTGCTATCTCACAACATACATAAAAATCAACTCAAAATGTGTTAAAAACAAAACTACTACAAGATGGGGGGCGGGGAGATGCTTCAAGACTTGGAATAGGTAAGAATTTTTTGGATATAACCCCAAAACCTTAGGAAGTAAAAGCAAAAAAAAAAAAAAAGGATTATATCAACTAAAAAGTTTTTGCACAAGAAAGAAATAATCAGCAGAGTGAAGACAAAACTTACAGAATAGTAGGAAAATATGTGTAAACCATACTTCTATACATATTAAAGAGGATTTAATATGCAGAATATATAAGGAACTCAACTGAATAGGAAAAAAATCTGATTAAAAAATAAGCAACAGACTTAAAAGGGCATCTTTCAAAAGAAGACATACAACAGGCTTATGAAAAAATGTTCAACATTACTAGCCATCAGGGAAATGTAAATCAAAACCATAATAAGCTACCACCTCACCCCAGTTAGAATGTCTATCAAAAAAGACAAACAACAGAGTTGCGGGCATGGCTTAAGTGATAGAATGCCTGTGTAGCAAGTGCAAAGCCATGAGTTCAAACCCCAGTACCACCACCAAAAAAAAAAAAATTGCTAGTAGTAAAGATGTTGTGAAAAAGAACCCTCACACTGTTAGTGGGAATGTAAATTAGTACAGCCATTATGGAAAACAGTATGGAGGTTCCATAAAAAGGTATAAACAGAACTACCACATGATGTAGCAATCCCACTCCTGGGTATAGAACCAAAGGAAATGACAGTCTATCAGAGATAATTTGCACTCTCATGTTTATTGTAGCACTGTTTACAGTAGCCAAAAAATGGAAACAACCTAAGTGTCCATTAATCAGTCAATGAATAAATGTGGTACATGTACATAATGGAATACTATTTAGTCATAAAAAGAATGAATTCCTGTCATTTATGACAACATGGATGGAACTGAAGATCATTATATTAAATGAAGTAAGCCAGGTAAAGAAAGACAGATACTACATGATTTCACTTACATGTGGAATCTTTTGTATGTATGTGTGTGTGTGTGTGGTACTGGGGCTTAAACTTAGGGCCTTCACCTTGAGCCACTCTACCAGCCTTATTTTTGTGAAGGGTTTTTCGAGACAGGGTCTGGTAGAACTATTTGCCAGGGCTGGGCTCGAACTGCGATCTTCCTGATCTCTGCCTTGAGTAGCTAGGATAATAGGCATGAGCCACCAGTGCCCAACTCACATGTGGAATCTTTAAAAAGCTGATTTCATGTTAGTTGAGAGTGAAATAGTGCTTACCAGAGGCTAGGGAGAGTAGGGGAAAGAAGAAACATGGGAAAAAGGTGATAAATGGACACTTAATATTTAGTTAGGAGAAACAAATTTGGATGCTCTATGGTATAACCGGGTGATTACAGATAATGATCTACTATATATTTTTAAAAGGCTAGAAGAAAGGATTTTGAGAGTTTGTTTGGAGGTTCTAGCGGGGCAGCATGGGTACTTGTATACCCTTGACTAAAGAATGGGCCCCCTCTATGGGGTTGGTCAATCTCTTTTACCAAGCACATAGCTTCTGGAAATACACACATGGATTGGTGAGGGAGGAAGGGGATACCAGTCCAGTCAGTCAAATCAGTTGAGTCAACCTTGGCAATCAATAGGGAGAGAGATGCCACGGTCAGTTCACCCTCACATCCAAAGAAAGGATTTTGAATGTTTTACACAAAGAAATGTAAAAGTTTGAGAAGATAGATATGTTTACCCTGATTTGGACATTCCACAATATATATGTATATCAAAACATAACATGGTACCCCATAAATATGTACAATATTTTTATGTGTTGATTGAAAACAGAAGGTATGGTCTAACTAAGGTAAAGAGTCAGAAGTTAGTTTGGAGCTGCCAGAACATCCTAGAAAGAAAGGAGTCACAAAACAGAGAGCTCCAAAAGCTATGTGAAAAGTTAAACTCTTATTAAATTCTTGACTCCTTAACAATGCATATATAAGAGGAGCCTAAGAAAATCTATGGCTGGAAGGCTGAAAGAAATTAGCAGCAATTTCATTATCTGGCCAGTACTGGAGATAGAATTTGGAGTTCAAGTTCTTCCAACTTGGAAGTTCTTGGTTAACATCTTGAGCTTTTCACTTAAACGAGAGGACTGTATGTAAGGAGTACAGACTATAAACTAGGACTAAGGGCAATACTCTAACCACAAAAGTAGAGTAAACCTACCCTGAGAAGGGCTCAAACCAATATTCTATATAGGATTAACTGGTGTGCCAGAATTTAACTGCTCTCAACAGTCTTCAGAGGAAGATAAGAATTTTTATAATATATCATTCAGTGTCCACTGTAAAACAAAAAGTTATTAAGACATGAAGCAGAAAAAATTGACTCATTATAAAGGGAAAAAAACCAGTTAATAGAAACAAACTCTCAAATGATCCAGGTATTGGATCTGTAAATAAGAACTTAAAAGTAACTATAATAAATATGGTAAAGAATCTGTAAAAAAAGATGAATATGATAGGTGAATAAACAACATTATAGCAATTATGAAAACTCTAAAAAAATAGAAATTACAGAACTAAACAATACATGAAACAAAAAAAATCACTAAATGAAATTATTAGTAGACACTACAGAAGAAATGGCCAGTGAACTTGAAGATAGACCAATAGAAATTATCCAAACTGAAGTAAACAGCAAAAACAATATGAATAGAGTCTCAAAAAACTGGAGCTACAAATGGAATGGAGAAAGAACAGGGCAGGAAAAAAATTTTAAGAAATAGTGTCTGAAATTTTTCTTAATGTGAATAAACACATCAGCTCAAATATGTGAGGTGACGCATACCCCAAACAAGATAAATATGAAGCAATTCATAGTAAGAGTCAAAGAAAAAGTGCTGAAAACCAAAGATAAATCAGACCAGCATAAGCACAGCCAAACAAACAAACCCCAAACATTATTTAGAGGGGAATGGCAATTAAGAATGAAGGCTGAAAGTTATGGAAACAGATGCCCCACTACTGATGAATGGATCAAGAAAATGTGGTATTTATGCACAATAGAATTTTACTCAGCCATGAAGAAGAATGAAATCTTATCATTTGTAAGTAAATGGATGGTACTGGAGAACATCATTCTGAGTGAGGTTAGCCAGGCTCAGAAGACCAAAAATCATATGTTCTCTCTCATATGTGGACTTTAGATCTAGGGCAAATACAGTAATGTGGTTGGATTTGGATCACATGACAAGGGGAGAGTACATACGGGAGATATGGGAATAGGTAGAAAACCCAAAACATGAAAGCATTTGATGTCCCCACTCTAGAGGAACTAATACAGAAACCTTAAAGCAACAGAGGTCAACCCGAGAAGGGGATCAGGAACCAGTGTAAACATCAGTTAGAGATGAATCAACTTGGGTTGTAACACATTTGTATATGGAAGCAATGCTAGGAATCTCTCTGTATCGCTATCCTTAACTCAACTAGCAAAAACATTGTCTTCCTTATTATGCTTATGTTTTCTCTTCAACGAAATTAGAGATAAGAGCAGAACAGGTTCTGCTCGAAAGAGAGGCAGGGACAGGGGGAGAGAGTGTGGGAGGAGGGCAGGGGGGAGAAATGACCCAAATAATGTATGGACATATGAATAAATGAATTTAAAAAAAAAAGAATGAAGGCTGAATTTACATAAGAAACCTGGCTATAATAGAGGTTCAAGGTCAGTGTAGGTTACAGTGAGACCATCGCACAAAAAAATAATTAAAATGATTTGCTACAAAACACTAAATAAACACATACCTTAACTGCATTGATGAAACATGCCTGCAATCGTCTTCCCAAAACCAGAAAATTTTCTGTAGCTGATGGAAGTAAGTCCTTGTAAAATTCCTCTGCATCGTCTCCTGGTTCTAAGCCCACACAACAGTGGCTAAAATAAGAGCACTAGTTTGTGTTAATCATAAATTTCAGTTGAGTGCTTAAATTTTTATGATATTGCACCTTTATGAAAATCTTTAGTATCCTTTTTTGTTGTCAAGTCAATTAAAAAACTCATTAGAAAACTGGTCTAACAACTTTCTAGAAAAGTAAACCACAGTATGGACCTTGTTTGTATTTAGTTCTAGGATTCACATAGACTAAAAACTAGTATGTCATCCCTTCAGAAAATGAAAGACACAAGGCTCGCAATAAGGAAAAATAAGTCAAGTTTTCAGTGAATTTGCAACAATCACTCTAAAAGTCACAGAATACCTTGACTTTAATTTATGAATAGCATTTCCATTAACAGATGAATTTTAGAAACTCAATAGCAGAAAAATACCAACAGTAAGATTAATTTTCAAGGGACAGATAAGGAAATCAAATACTCTTAATCTTATACTAATTCTAATTTCCAGTAGATTGACTTCCCTAAGATCTGCAAATAATTTGCTTATATATTCTTAAGGGATAAAAGCAAAAACCTAACTCTAGTAGGAACACTTTATAATAAACATTAAAAGAAAGTCATTGCCGGGTGCTGGTGGCTCACACCTATAATCCTAGCTACTCAGAAGGCAGAGAGCAGGAGGATCACAGTTCCAAGCCTGGGTAAATAGTTCACGACCCTATCTCCAAAAAACCCATCCACAAACAAACAAAACAAAAAGAACTAGTGGAGTGGCTCAAGGTATAGGCCCTGAGTTCAAGCCCCAGACCGCAAAAATAAAGAAAGTCATTTAGAGAAATGTATCTTCCTGAAACAGAATATAAAAGCCACTCCCTGAATATGAAATGAATATATTCAGAAGTCTCAAAAATAAAAAGTGTTTGTGTAGTAGACTAATACCAAGAAGAGCCCGCAAGACAAGAATGGGTTGTAATCTGATATGGTAAGTTCTACTGTTTGAGTCCTTTTTTTGACAAAATGTGCAGACACTGATAAGCAATGACAACTACATATTGAGCATGCTAAAACCCTAACTGGCTAATGCTCATATGTATCAATTTTTATTTTATCTTTTGTTCTTAAAAGTAATTATGTAAGGGTATCTATTTTGGTAGGGAACATTAATAAATGAAATTATGGTCAATCAATACTGTCATTAGCATATAATCATAACAAAAGCAGTAGGGTTTATTTACTTAAGGAAATCATAAACATTGAAAAATTAAAGTATTAAAAAAGAGTATTTCTACACATTGTTAAATGTTCTTTGTAACTGAATACTTTCAATTTTGTTTTTATCTAGTAATAGAGCAGGAATAATCAGAGTTTAGAAAGTTAGCATTCAAGACAGTATAAATATGACAAAACCCTGCAGTGGGAATAGTGTATTAAAATCAAATGGCTTATGAAAGAAAGGAAAGAGAGAGAGAGAGAGAGAGAGAGAGAGAGAGAGAGAGAGAGAGAGAGAGAGAGAAAGGAAGGAAGGAAGGAAGGAAGAAAGAAAGGAAGAAAGGAAGAAAAGAAAGGAATGAAGGAAGGGAGAGAGGGAGCAAGAGCTAATGCATTCATTTTTTCCTTTCTTCAAATATTTCTGAGCAATAGAGTATATTACACACTTGGGATTCAGTGGTGAGAAAATAAATGACTACCACTAATAGGAATTTGAGAAAATCAATCTTAAATACACTTACCAACATACAGTATGAAAGAAAAGTACAACCAAAACTTATCACAGGAGGTTTCAATTCATGTTAGGAGGATGAATAAAAAAGAAGCAACTGTTGAAACTCAGAATCACATACTAAATTCCTCAAGAATAAGCTGACCTCTTGCTTCATTTTACCTTAATATCTGTGCAAGTTGGGAAATTGTAGTCCAACCACCCTGGATTCGAGAACAATCTTGACTGAGGACCAAGAGGCAATACTGAATTAGGTCATAACAATATATATCTTTTTTTATTTTCTTCAACTCTGAGCTTCCTGAAGGTGTGTTGTTTATTATTTCTAAGGCAAAAGAAAATAAGATACACTTATTTTTGCTCGATATACCCAAAATCTACTTGAATTTTTATATGTTGAATAGTCACAAAAAAACACATCAAAAAATCACTTGCATAATGGCTCAAGCAGTAAAGCACTTGCTTAGCAAGTGTGAGGCCCTGAGTTCAAACCCCAATACCACCAAAAATAAAGCAAAAATCAATGCTACATATAGTGTTATGAGTTCTCTGAACAAATCAAATGTTAAAATGGAACCAATAATATAACTCTTTCTAATTAAAAGTTTTACCTAATCACAAAATTACTTTTTTAGCTAGGCGCCAGTGGCTCATGCCTATAATTTTCAATCTACAAAAATTCACTCAAGAAACAATAGTCAGGCACTGGTGGTTCACACCAGTAATCCTAGTTATTTGGGAGGCTGAGATAGGGAGGATCACAGTTAGAGGCCAGCCCAGGCAAATAGTTCATGAGACCCTATCTCCAAAATAACCAGAACAACAGTGGAATGGAAGTGTGGATCAAACAATAGAGCACCAGTTTTACAAGAGCAAAGCTCTGAGTTTAAACCCCAGTCCCACAAAAAAAAAATTGTTTTTAATTTTTTCTTACCTTTTAACTTCAACAGTATAATAGGGACATTCTGTTCAGGACTTTTTGCAACTTCAGCGGCCAGAGATAAGATCCTTGGGTCTGTATCTGATGGCTTCATTTCTTTATTTCTTATATTACCTGTTTTTTAAAAGAATCAGCTAATAAAGGTCAAAAGTCTCTAAAATACTCACTTCCTAAATGGTGTTTGAAATATAAGATTAATATAAATGAAAACTCAGTTTTACTTGCCTGTTTGAGAGATTTCTTTTTCCATTTTTTACTGAGTGGAAAGTCTAGTTTTTCTACTCAGTACAACTCCAAAATGTTGTAGATTCCTACATATAGCAATTATACTAGGCATTGTTATTGTGTACACTAGTGGTCAGGAACTGTCTTAGGAGCTTTACATTCACTCTCCTAATATGCACAACAATTTTAGGATAGAATTCATATAGGAGAACCTGAGTGTACACAAAAGACTAGACCCAAAACTGCCATTCTTACAAAGGTCTGCTTACAAAGTTGGCCTTTGGCTGGCATCTAGAATGTGAATTTCAGGAAGGTTTTTATTGTTCTCTGGTCAGAGTGTCTCCCTGTGCCTAAACTGTTTATAAAAATGATGTAGTTCATGCTGAACACCTCTTTTCCTTCCACAGTGCAAGAATTCTGGAATATGCTAGCAGAGAGTGTCTACATGACTTTATTAGTCTGATTTCCATTACTATAATGAAATATCTAAGTCTGAGTATGTCATAAAGAAAAATGTCTATTACAGAGCCAAAGTAACAAAACCAGGATGGTACTGGCATAAAAACAGACATATAAATCAATAGAACAGAAGATCTAGAAATCAGTCCACATGGTTACTGATTGTCAACAAAAGCACCAAAACATACATTGGGGAAAAGACAGCTTATAAAACAAATGGAGTGTGAAAATTTGATACTCACATGTAGAGGACTGAAGCTAGATCCCTATCTCTAACTCTGTATAAAAATGAATTAAAAATGAACTAACAATCTAAACATAAGACCTGAAAATTTGGACCTATTAGAGAAAAAAAGCAGGGAAGACTCTCGAAGATACAGGCAAAGGTAATCCCTTTCTAAATGGGACTCCAGATGCTCAAGAAATAAGAGCAAGAATTGACAATGGGATTGTACCAAATAAAAGGCTTTGCACAGCAAAGGAAACAATTATCAGAAATAAGAGACTACCTACAGAATGGGAAAAAATCTTTGCCAGCTATTCATTGGAAGAGCTCCAAAAAGTAAACAATCCAATTAATGAATGGGCAAACATACTGAACAGACAGTTCTCAAAAGAAGTACAAACTGCCAATAAATACTTCAAATGTTCAGCATCCTTAGTCATAAAGGAAATGCAAATCCAAATGATACTGAAATTTCATCTCACCTTAGTCAGAATGGCAATCAAGAAAACAAACAACAATAAACACTGGCTATGATATAGGGGACAGGATGGAGGGAACACACAGGACAGTAATATACTGTTGGTAGGAATATAAATTAGTGTAGCTACTATGTAAATCAGTATGAGGGTTCCTCAAAAAACTAAAAATAGAACTATCACTCTTGAGTATACATCTGAAGGAATGTAAAGTCTGCACACAATAGAGATGTTTGCACATCCATGTTTAAGGCAGCACTAGTCACAACAGCCAAACGATGGAATCAGCCTAGGTGCCCATCAACCTACGAATGGATAAAAAAAATGTGGTATATATACACAATACCATATTATTCAGCCATAAAGAATGAAATTATCTCGTTTGAAGGAAAATGGATGGGACTGGAGATCAGCATGCTAAGTGAAATAAGCCAGAGTGAGAAAGACAAATATCGCATGTTCTCTCTCATCATACACAAAATTTAGAACTAAAAAAAAAAAAGAATGACACTGGGGGTGAGAACCAGTGGGAGGGGGAAGGCAAAAAAAGAGGATGAAGGAGGTAGGTGAATATGATCAAAGTACTTCATACACATGTATGAAAATAGAATAATGAACCTCATTAAAATTATTTTTAAATGGGGGAAGGGGAGATAAGAGTAAAAGAGGGAGTGAAAGTACATTATATGCATGTATGGAAATGTCACAATAAAACATCTTTGTACAACTAATATATACTAATAAAGAGAAAAAAACTGACTAAAACAAAAAAGTTTATTTAGATCATAGTTCTGAATTTCAAGGATCTCATGTATGGTGATTAGCTCAGCTTTGGGAGGGACCCCTTGCTTTGTCACAGAACAGATGGTATCATGGCTTGAGTGCATATAAAAGGAAGACATGACATGGCAAGCTAGGAAGTCAGAGAGACCAGGGAGAGACCAGCCTTGCTCTTAAAACTTGTAACAATCCTCTCTCAAGAACTAACCAAGGCCTTACAAGAACTATATCAATTCCTTCAGTAAGCAGTGCTCCTAATGACCTATATCTCCCACTAGTCCTCACCTCTTAAAGGTCCCACCACCTCTTAACATTGCCATAGAGGATTAAACATTCCAACATATAAGCCCATGGGGGACAAACATCCAAACCACAGCAGTAACCATTGTCCAGTAAAAATTCTGATGTGTCTAGTGAGCTTCCCTGGTAAATAACATTTCACAGGTGTTGTCACAAGGCTCAAAATGTTATGAAATTATAAGAAAATCAAAATTTATAAATAGTACAGTGAGCAAAATCAATTCTACAATTTTAAAATGTCAGTATCTCAATTAATTTTTTTTTGCTAAAACTTTTCTACATAAAAAAGTTTTAAAGTGTTTGAAGCTCAAAAGCCAGGCATGATGTTACATCTCTGTAATTCTAGCACCTGGGAGGCTGAATGAAGCAGCCTAAGCTAAGCTTAGGTCAGCCTAAGCTAAGCAGTGAGTTCTAGGCCAGCCTGGGCAAAAGAGCAAGATCCTATCTCAAAAAATTAAGAAGCATTTGAAACTTGATGATATCATCTAATTACAACATATCTTCCTTTACTTTTAAAATAGCTATCATCTATTCAGTACTTACTATGAGCTAAGCATAGTGCTAAGTGATTTTTAAATGAATTATCTATTAATTCTCACAATGGGACTATGAGGTAGTGCCTTTAATCATCTCCAATTTGTGAATAAGGAAAATAAAACTTGAAGAAAAAACTTACGGTTCTACTAGTATGTGGTGGCATTAACAGATCAGTCTGTCTGCAAAGCCTATGATTTTAATTACTGTTTTTTTATATTCCCTCTCATGTAAAACAGTAAAAACATAATAAAACATTCCCAAATAACCTACTCCTAAGTCACTTTTTAAGCTGTTATTCTTCACAGCTATGTTTCACCCTTCATATTCAAGAGTTGGCCACAACTAAGGCATTCAAAATCGTCCCTTATTAGGTAAAATATGAATTCACTGAAAATATTTTATAAGAAAGCCCAGTAAAATTCCTAGCATATAGAAGGCACAAAACTTTCTAAGAGTGTACATATAATTATCTTATTCTTACCATTGGCTGTATTATGCTATGCTTCCTTTATAAGAATATATTTAAATATATCTGATATATTTAAATATTTAAACATTCAAGTGGTATGTTATAAGCAGTGCTACAATGAATATCAATGAATAAGTCATAATGCACTCATGCTAGTATCCCTGTAGGATATATTACATTCTTATCCAGTACATATACACACACACATTACAGGGTATATTTTGATGCTTTATTTAGTTTAATAAATCTATTTGTTTATTCTTGGACTAGTACAACATAGTTCATTTTAACATGTTTGGTGAAAATTCAAGTTAGTAAGTTACATGAGGGCAAATCCATACTATTCTTGTTGTCTGCCTCATTTCTTTGATCCCCAGTGGCTAGACTAGTGCCTGGCATGCAGCAAGTACTTAATAAATACTTGTTGAAAGAAAGAATAAATGCATAAACCTTGGGCATTCTGCGATTCAAGTTTTGACTGGCTTTTCTCCTTGCTGCGATATGGAAGGTTCAGATTTCTGGTGGGAAACCCACTTTTTTTTTTGAGTGCTTTTCCTAATACTTTACTTTTAAAAGTCAAATAGGCTTAAGACACTCTTCTGCCTTCCTGGTTACATGTAAAAATCACTAAAACATTACCATCATCACCAAATGTGTAGAGCAACATTACAGATGCAAGGTTCACAAAGATTTTATATAGGACAATTCCCTGCTAATGTCTGGTTGAGAAAGAAAAGTATCATGTGTGTATAAAAATCCTTATGTACATAGAATATAATATGCTAATTACTAAATAGACATAGGTAAGAAATAAGACCAAAAGTCGAAGGACTGTGCTTCTCTGAACCAGTTTTCTTATCTATAAACAAAACAGCAATCCCTACTCTCTAAAATAATTCAAAAGTTAGAAAGAAAGGCGGCCACCAAGGAGTCTTAAAATATGAGCCTTAATAATAGCCATTTGGGAGGTGAAGAGGGGAGGACTGTGGTTTAAGGTTGGCCCAGGCAAAAGTTGAGACCCTATCTCAAAAACAAGCATGGCAGTGGCTCATGCTATAGTGGCGGAAATGGGAGGCTGGCATCTGGAAGTCCATCCAAGGAAAAAAGAACGACCTCACCTGAAAAATAAACTAGAACAAAATGGACAGGGAACGTGGCTCAAGTAGAGCCTTTGCCTAGGTAGCCCAAGTTCAAAACCCAGAACTGCCAAAAAATTTTTTTGGAGAGCAGTATGTGTGATGAATTGTCCTGTTTTCATGTATTAACTCATTTAATCATCTCCACAACTCTAAGGGATAAGCATCATTATTTTTCTCCAATTTTAACGATAACTACTAGTTTCCACAAAGTCACACTGTTAAGCATGAAGCTGGAGCTCAAACCCAGAGATCCGGGCTTCTGGGCCTTGGGGAAGGAGAAAATTGAGACAAACAGGTTGAGGGAGAAATAAATTGAGAAATCCGCCTAAGAAGGTGTTACAAGGTAAAGGAGTACAGCCTGGTTACATAATTATCCTGAAAAATAATCACTTCTTGTAGCAACCATTTGCAAACGCGTCTTGAACGCTTCCCTTCTAATACAATGCTCCTTCTATTTTTAGAGTACATTGATGAACCGCGATAGAGAACACCCACAATTACCGACCCATCATGAACGCTATCACCTTGATGCTTTTGGGGGTCGCTCTATGGCTGTGCCCTTCCCTGCCTCCTCGGACCCCCGGGATGGAAATAAATGAAAGAAACCCCATACAATCCGGGTACGACTGACCCTAAACGTCTGCAGGTCCTAATTAAGAATCCCTTTTTCCTCCCTCCTAATCCCACTGCAAAGTTCTTTGGTATTTAGTACTTAAAGGTCAGGAAACGGATCGTCTAGGTAACAGCGTCGCCTGCAGCCCAAGTCCCGAGGCTCGGGGGCCGCAAGGCGCTTTCCTCGGGATTCCAGACCCGGCTTTGGCGCCATTCGGCCTAGCGCCCAGACGCCTCGCGTCCTCGGGCCTCAGTTTGCACACCCGATCTCCACAGGCTGGGCGTGGGGCAGGCCCATTCTCCCGTGAAGAGGTCCAGGAGCCTTGTGTCCTGGCGTCCCCGTACCCGGGACCCTCTCCTTTCCCAGCCACTACCTCAGGTCTGTTACCTCATCCTCGCTTCGCGTTCTGGCACCAAATGTCTCTCACACCCCCGCGCACCTCAGCTCGGCTGCCTGTGCCGGGCGGTGTACGTCGCAACGCTGGAAGGGAGCCTAGGGGCGGGATCCGATGTAAGGGGCAGGGACCTCTTCGCTAGGCAGCCAATCAGGGCGCCAAGGGCGCCAGGGAGCCGTGACCGACAGGCGTGGGGCGGAGTTTGCGATGGCCGAGGTGGGAGGGGCCGCTGGGGGCGGACAGCAAGTGCAGCTGCTTCAGGCTGAGGTGGCAGATGGTAGTGAAGGCGACGTCGGAGCCAGAAGGTTATGATGAATGGACCGGCGGGACTCTCGCACCTGGACCGTCGCGAACGAGTTCTCAAATTAGGCGAGAGTTTCGAGAAGCGGCCGCGCTGCGCCTTCCACACTGTGCGCTGTAAGTGAGGACTGCCCGGGGGGGGCTGGCGGGGAAGTCTTGTCTCCTGGGTCCGGGGAGTAGAGGCACAAAGTCCTTTGAGTACTGTTCCCACAGCCCCCCTTACTCATCCAGAGATTGGGGCTGGGGCAGCATGATCTGCTACCCCGGCTGGAGATTTGGGGTATCAGTGCTCGGGGACGGATCGGTGCACGGAGACGGGTCCGTGCAAGGACTTGGCGTCCGGCAGGTGCAGGTAAACCGTGGGCGGATTTAACAAACAGGGAAGCGCTGTGAAGGTCTGTGCGGGTGACTGTGGGGACTAGCATGACAGATGGGTGATGCCGAGATGGCACGGACACAGAAAGATGACAGATGGACTAAGGGGCCAGGTGAGTGCAGGGCAAAGGGAATGCCTTAGGGCTGAAGGACAACACTCCCTTCATCTTTTCTCATCTCTGGCTGATGAGGGGTCTTTTTAGTGCGTTCTCGGGGAGAGGTGCTCAACTGTCTCAAGAGTCTGTCTCTCTTTGGACCCCAGATTTCATTGTCAGTTATGAAATACTATCGAAGTAATGGAGGGTGTGATATTAATTTCTTTATTTGGAAGATTTTTACCTCCCTATGATTTCTACCTTTGGGTTTTCCTTATGCCCTCTGGAACTAGTTTTAATAAATTATTCACTTTTCTCTTGTTGAAACATAGGTTAAAAAGGATCCCTTTTGTTTTAATACTTGGATAATACAGATCCCAGGGAGAAAAATATAGCATATATGATTTTTTTTGCAAAATATTCTTTTTTTTTTTTTGCATAATGGCTCTCATAGATATCTAAAGCAGGAAGGAAACTGTGAGATCATTGAGTCATAACCTGTAATTTTTTTCTGTGGCAAAATTGTAAAGTAGGTATTTTTTTTCACTTCCTTTTTCCAGCTCAGCCCAACCCTTCCTTACTGTCTCATTCTCCTACCTTTCTCAGTCATGCTGTCAGGTTGTCTAGAAACTTTAATGGTTTTTTTTACTCTGAAATGTTCTGTGACTCAAAACACCTAATTAAAACTTTGCTTGAGTTGTGGACAGTCTAGTTATTGTAATTCAGAAACTCCAAGAACATATTTACATTTTACAAAAGGGTTTTATTAAGCAAAATTAGCAGCTACTTGGAAGAATGAATGGGGGAGACCTTCGCCAACAGATGATCTTCAACAGTGTCCCCTGTTTATTCTGCCTTATATAACCATACTCTGTCACCCAAAGCTCCCCACAAGGAGACAGCTAGTGCTGTGCAGACTCTTAAGTTTCTCTTTCTCTTCAGCTCAATTTTGAAAAGTAAGATATGGTTCTTATCTGGTTTCTCCATGCCCTTTTCTCAAATACTATCTCCTCATTTTTCCTGTTCCTTCTCAGGTATGTGGTAATCTTAGTATTAATTTTTCAAGTTACAAAGTTTAAGATTATAAAAATTTGCTCAAGAATATTTTATACAAGTTAGGTATACATTCTTTTCTTAAAGGCATGAGCCCCAAATTAAATGAATAAAAAATAGTCTTTGAAAAGTATCTTACAGGTGCCTTTCATTTGTTAAGGTTTTATTTATCTATTTTGCAGTGCTAGGAATAGAAACCAGGGCCCTATGCATTCTAGGCAAGCACTGTATCACTGAGCTATATTCGTAGCTCTAGCAAAGTTCTTAAAATGCCAGAATCACATTTTCAGAGTCGTTTCAAGAATGACAATAAAAATATATAAAATAATAATAATAAATAAAACTAGATGTTTAAATGCACGCTTAGTCTTGTGTAAGACAATAGAGATGTTTTCAGATTTTTTACTGAAGTAGGTATAGTAATGGCACAGAATCATGTTGGCTTTATTTAAATAAAACCTGTCATTATCCTTCAGAACAGGTTCCTTTCCAGTGTGATTCTCACTCTTTAGAAGTCAAAGTGAGAGATGGAAAGTATAAAATAGAGACTATGACATTTATTTAGGGCAGGGCAGGAGGATCTAATTTATAACAAACACTCAAGTCAATGTATTTTGAGAGAAAGCAATATTCTGTCTTTACATACAGGGGCAGTTTTGCCTGTTTGATATGCTGAGGCTTCAGATGAACCCAGTTGTGAATCCTGATCTCCCTCTCTCTCTCTCTCCAGACATATATGTACACATATACACACATACATATAAATATATACATATATATATTTATAGACATATATGTACACATATACACACATACATATAAATATATACACATATACACACATACATATAAATATATACACATATACATTTGTATATATACACACATATGTATGTATATATATGTATGTAATGTGATGTGACTTTGGAAACATTTGCTAGGCTGTCAGCCTCAGTGTTCTTATGTGTAAAATGGTAATAATAATGTCTACATTTTGGAATTTGTAAGAATTAAGATAGCATAAACCATCTAGCACAGTATTTGGAACATGGTAAAAAATAAATATTCATGTGTGTATTAGGAGTACCAATGAATGTAATTTATCTAAACTTTTAAAAAGAGTTTATTAGAGCTTGGCAATAAGACCTATCAAAAAGATAGTGTAGCAGTCTAGCATATGGTAGGAAGGACATGGGATGTTCTAACAATGATAAATACTGAGTGGCAACAGATGATTCATGGGTAGAGTTTGAATAACAGGACTCATTAAAAATAATTTGTGATTGGGGTTAGCACTAGCTTTACAATTTTATGATATAAAGGTTAGTAAAGTTCTAAAGTCTTCAGGGATGCCACTGTGTTTTGTTTTGTTAGTACTGGCCTTTGAACTCAGGGTCTCAAGCTGACAGGTGCTCTATCACTTGAGCAATGCCCCAGCCCTTGGTGATACCACTTTTACTGTCATGAAATGATAAAGTGATAAGCAGAGACTACAGAAAGATTGTCTTTCTATAGTTCTTTAAGTGAACTCCCCTCCAATAGTATGAGCAAAATCAAAAACTATGTCAATTAAAAGTAGTATTAAAATTATATTTACAGTTAAGGTTTTCTGATCAGTATAGCATATTAGAAAGAGTCTGGGTTTTGGAGTTCATTGATTTAGTTCAAATCATAGGAAACAAACTGATGATAGTACTTATGGATTTTTATGACAATATTAACATTATGTGATGCTATAGCCACTATAATCAGAAAATGTTAAACTTTGAGAGAAAACTTAAATACAAGATAACAAAATGCTTTTCTATTTTCATGCAATGTAAGAAGTAATTATATTGTAAACTTGAAGAAAATTACATATATGAAAGAAATCCAGAGAGAATAGATAAGTGATAAAATTGGTAGTAGGATTTCCTAACCAAGGAGAACTAAAAACAAAACTAGTTGACTTAGAAGAGAATACATGTGACATTTGGAGTATATGGAAAGTATGAACATGGAATTGCTCAACAAATTCTTTAATTCTAGCACTATATGTAACCCCCTGTTGAAACTCAAAAGTTACATAATTTAAAAAACTTGTTTGAAGGCAAATAAAAGACAGGACTATATGATATAATAAGTAATAAAGTAGAGTAAATTATTCCAATAGGATAATTAGAAATGTAAATAGGTTCAAAATAGTTTTGATAAACTTATTAATAAGAAATCCATGTTTATGATAAAACCGAGAGCACACAAGGGAGGGGTGAGGATAGGTAAGACACCTAAAAAACTAGCTAGCATTTGTTGCCCTTAACGCAGAGAAACTAAAGCAGATACCTTAAAGCAACTGAGGCCAATAGGAAAAGGGGAACAGGTACTAGAGAAAAGGTTAGATCAAAAAGAATTAACCTAGAAGGTAACACCCACGCACAGGAAATCAATGTGAGTCAATGCCCTGTATAGCTATCCTTATCTCAACCAGCAAAACCCCTTGTTCCTTCCTATTATTGCTTATACTCTCTCTACAACAAAATTAGAGATAAGGGCAAAATAGTTTCTGCTGGGTATTGAGGGAGGGGAGCGGGAGGGGGCGGAGTGGGTGGTAAGGGAGGGGGCGGGGGCAGGGGGGTGAAATGAACCAAGCCTTGTATACACATATGAATAATAAAAGAAAAATGAAAAAAAAAAAAGAAATCCATGTTTATTATTAAGTCAGCTATAGATCTTTTGAATGCATTTCTGTCTCTTGCAGTTACTTCATGCACTATAGGCATCAATATGAGATCCAGGGCCTTTGAACACCTTGAAATCATACAGAAGTTAGTATGTATATTCAAATATGTACTTTTGTATGGGAGAGGATCTAGAGCTGGTCTAATACTAATCAGGTTCTCATAGGGGCTTATGACTATCCCTCATCTCCTAATACTCCCCACCTACCCCACAAAAGTTAAGAACTATGGATATAAGACAAAAGGGTTATATAACATGAATGGGCAGGATATGTAGTTGGAGGTCCTAACTTGATCATTTAGTGACTTCATTACTTTCAAGGGCTCCCAACTAGTACAATATGTGTGAGAAAATTTAACTCAAAGATTTGTTGTGAAGGTCAAAGTGATATGTATTATAAAGAAAAATACTTTGTAAACAAAGCAGAGGTTGCAGATTAACAGCCTGTAGCTTCAATTTTACTAGAAATTCTTTGACCCAATTGTTGCTGTCTCATCTTGATTCAATTACACATGCCTAAAAATCAGAATTTTTAAA